CAGATTTATAATGATTTCTTCTTTTTTTTTCAACTAAAAGACACGTAATAGGTACGAATCGAAGTTCCAAAAGTTTTGCGCTCAATTCGACGAGCAAGAACTGTACGTCGATGAAACTTAGCTCAACTACAAAGATAAGTTCGCCGAAATTTTTGATAGTGGCAAACGGAGACCGATTTGCTGGCGAATTAGGCTTGTTTCATAAGCGCGTCGCGTGACGAGATCTCGCGCCACGAGCGTCCGCGCGCACGTGTTTCGAACATGTGCTTTTTGGTTCGCGCGACCGCGACAGCTCTACGAATAAAGCGGCGTTCATTAATAATGCGCATGTACACATTGTCGAGTAATATATACAGCTCGCACGTACGCTCGACTAACAGTACACAGTTGATACAACTGGCGACACGACCAGAATCCGATTAAACCAGAGAGAAAAACATAAAGATAGAAACTGGCCAGCTTCGTCGAGCGAATTCGTTGAAACGGCATCGACGAAAGCGATTCTTTCATTTGCCATTTATGCGAACGAATCGTGCTCCACCACGGCTGTCGACGAAAGAAACGGACTTTTGTTTGCACGCAATTAGAGCTCGTTCGTACGTGGCGAAGGCTTTTTGCTGAAAGGCTCGACAGTGGATTCGAAGCTCCTTTGAATATTTTCGAGCGAAATACATGTACTGGGTGATGAGAAAATAATTATGCATCTTTTTTATTAACACGTTAATTGGCACGCCTGAAAGTTTCGTAATTCATCGTTTGAAATATCAGGTATTCGTAAAAGAATCTCTGATACAAACGATGGATTCCTGTAGAATCCACGGTTGACGGGGCAGTTAATAAAGGAAATTGGATGAAATTTCGTAAAATTACAAAATCGTAATGCCGCAATCTTAATCCGATATCCGCTGATTAACCGAAGTTTTCGTTTTCATTTATTTTGACGAATCGACGTAGCGATCGTTGAAATGTAAAAACGTCACGATTACGACGTCCTCCGCAAGTAAGCACACGCGTCGCCGGTCTCGTTTTATCAGTCGGTCGTTGTTTTTGCGTTTCAACTCGGGAGAGGAATACGCGTCGGTGTTCGTCTCGCGACTAATCGTTCGCGCGGAATTATCGATAACGAGACGGGTGTGTGTTGATCGTTTCGTTTCGTTTCATCGTTACGTAAATAAAATCGACTTGTAACGTGGTCCCGTCGCCGACTACCGTTCTCCATTCCCGGTCATCAGGGTTCGTCGAGTTGTAAAACGGTGATCTGATTAAAAGGTACGTTGACTCACTCGATTGTACACGGAGAGGATGCCGATAAAACGCGCGAAAACTTCGCACCGAGTGTGTGTACCAAAGCGAGCAGACAACAAATCTTGATAACCGGGGAGCCAACCGTGATAACGAGTTAATATTTATTTACTAAAATGTTAATTCCCCTGTTGTGCTGGTGAGAAATCGCATTTCTCTCTCGCGGATCTCGAGGATTTTCATTGTTCTTTTTTTCTTCTTTTTCCCATCACTTTGTCCGACGAATTATATTCAGTGTCAATGAAACGAGTCTGATCGTGATTAAAAGGATAAAGAGGAGGAGCTGGTCGAATCGCAGAAAAGTCAGAGGTTATTAGCCAAGCGACTTGATTTCTCGTACGGTTATCGCCTAATTTTCTGTTAAAATTATTCGACCGATCTAATCGTAGCTAGTGATGAATGTTCGATACTTTATCTCGCCGCTTTTCGAATCATTCAAACCCATTTCAATTTCACTTTGATAAATATTTCGATTATTGAAATTTTCGAAGACTCGAAAAGTGCTGAAACTTTTAAAACTCTTGAGAAACACTTGAAATATCCTCGCCTCCCGACGAGTCTTTCAACGTGTAGGTAATCAGCGATAAATATTTTCAGTTATAAATTTTCAAGTAATTCGTGCAACGTAATTACATTTAAGAATCGAATCGAATTTGAAACTTTCTCCGGTGTATTCGAAGCGATCGATCAACGATCGTGTAGCAATGGACGATCGCCACGTTGGAGGTGGAATAGCGAAAATCGGTTATGTTCGCGCGAACGGCACACGAGATCGTTATAAAAATGTAGAAACTCTCTGTGGGAGGCTTTCGTAATCGCGCGACAAACTGAATCCACGCGTTTCTAATGCTTCAAACGAGTTATCTCTCGTCGCCGCTCGTTCCTGGTTCACTGGATTTAGAACGAAAACGCGTTGCTTTTCGCGACCGAGTCCCGCTAGTTGGTGTTTGCACAGCTGTTTCTGTAGACGACCGTTTCCTCTCGAGCTTTTCCATTTTTCAGCGGTCCGCTTCGAACGAAAATATTATTCTCAAGCCGAAGGAATTAATAATACACCCATATAATATCTGATCTTTTATAAAAAAAAGAATATTTGAGTTACATCTTTGAGAACAATTCTATCCGCGTTTGGGCTGTTGCTTTTTGCTTCGCTTCAGACAAGTAACTACCTCTTTCAGCAGCACTTGTTTTATACCAAATAAATGAAACATAAATTGAAAAATTTGTTTACACAGATAACAGAGTCGCGCTTGATGAACATAAAGAATGACGTACATCTGCGATCAGATCAGGCTTGTAGGAGGAGCAGCAGGAATTCTCGATATCTGAATTCTCACGATATTAATAATAATAGCGATTTAGAAATGCTTAGAGCGGATTTTTTATACGAAAGATGGCTACAGGTTTATCCGAGCCGCGTTTTCTAAGTCGCGTTTCCCTTCTGTCCCCCTGAGGCTACGTGGCACAGAGAGAGAGTCACGACCTCGCGGATTTTACGGGCTTATCTCGGCCTCTTAAGTAGGCTATCGGCAGTGTCATTAGGCGCGCGGAGGATTGTCAACGTGTCATGCGACTTCTGTCGCAAGAATCCGTGGTAGGCGCGTTCTTAAACCTGCGGGCAATCGAGCACCCATCCGGCTATACCTGTTCTCACCAGACATTTATTCAACAAGCTTAGCACTCCGCGGATCCTTTAGAATTTTGCGATATCTTCGCTAAGGAAATATAAAAATATATCAAGTATTCTTGGATAGTGTTTTCGGAAGCTTTCTCCCTGGTCCGCGTTTAGATAGATAAGATAACCGAACACCCTAAGGGACTTGCTAATGAGCGAACGAATTTCAGAAGTTCTGGTGAAAGTAGCGAAATCTTGGAGATAAGGAAATATAGAACGGTTGAGAAACGTACCTTCCGTTCAGGCTTATGCTTCATAATTTTTCTCTCTTTAACTGGAAACTACAGTTCTCGTTGGACAGGAAATTCTCCTTAAACGCCATCTTTCGGTATACTAGAAATATACATCTTTTTGTGATACTGATTGCAAGAAAGAGAAAATTGGGTCTTATTTAATTTAATCAAAGCGAAACGAGTCTAACCTGAGAAGTATCATATTTTGCTTGATAGTAAAATTATTGAATTAAATCAAATTACTTCTTGACGATGATGATTCTAAGCAAAATTTTTGTTGATACAATTTGGTAACTTAAAGTACATCAAACGGTAAGAGGTAAATATCGTAGAAATAATAGATTAATATCAGTAATCAGTATTGAAGATACTCGAAGGTGGCTGTTATCTGTTCCTGATTTCAGAGGGGGGGAAAAAAGGGAATGACGAGAAGTACAAAGCTTGTTCCTCTTATCGTCGTATCGCTGCTTATATAGAGCAACGATCTAGCAAGGAATTGTTTAACTCGAGATTAAGCTAGCAAAGCATAGAATCTATGACTACCGTATCTATCGTTGTATAACTACCTTGTCGCATTTAATATTCTAAAAAGTTCGCGCAACACTAATTTAGCTCGCTTCAGTATTTAAACTGTCTGAGAACTTGGCGTGCTATTAATATGGATGATTCATTATCTATTCGAAATTACTTATTCATTTGCTCGACTTGAAAAGGTACATATGTAAAATCGAATGTTAACCTGTTAGATGGATATCTATAATTTTATAAAACATTCGATAGATTATATTAAACGTACTAAAAAAAAGTATCCCTATTCCAAATTTTAACAAAATTCATCTGAAAATCTTGTCGATTGTCCGACCAACTTTGGTCCCCAGAGACGATCGGTTAACGAGACATTTTCTAACCCTGTGATCTTCCAAAATCTATCCAAATATCGAATGAAGAAGTAGGATATTCTCGCAGGATCCTCGGTGTTTTTAATTCTGCAGGAGGTGAACCGTGTCGATCGTGCGCGATAAGGATCGAGAGAATCGATCGGGCGCAGGTAACGATATCCTTGAGACTCGAGAGGCGTCATAGTTAGCGCGCGATTCGACGACGCTCTGTTTACAGTGTAATAGTAACGATGTTTATCGATCCTGTTATCATCGGGAGTAGTACGCTTGCAAATGCGCGAAGCCTGCACGAGTTCGAGGACGAGTAAGCTCGAAGACGTAAATACACGAGGTGCAGGAGAGAGGCTCGGTCGAAGGTCTGGTTTCGCAAAGAAGAGAGGAAAAAAAAGGGAGACCAGAAAAATTGATCGTCGCTCGATCAAAAACATCGTTTCGATCGTTGGAAGAAATTCGTTAACTTTTTTTCTTCTCCCTTTCTTTCCTTCGTGTTATTTCCAACGTCGTGTAACTCTGGATTCTGTAAAATTTATTTTTGACAGCGGAGTCAGCAATTGCCTCGTGTCAACGGGTGACTTTCGACACGATCATTATCTTTCTTCATTATCTTTATTGTCGACGACGATCATTAGGCTCTTGACATTCGCTATCTTGCCGCTTCTGATCCTCCTCGGGGTTGTTTTTCACGCGCCTGATGGCCCCGTCGTAGACAAAGAGCTCGAAGAAGATTCCGTTGTATCCCCGTTTGTTTGCGTCCGAGGGTACTGATAACGATTTTCACGCTCTCCGAACGTTTATCAATTCGTTCGATATCATGGGGGTCGAGATTTTTACACGGTCGAATAATTAATAATGGAAAATGCTGGTGAAAATTTTGTTCAATGTTTTTATTCAATAACAAATTCATATTCCTTTTCCCTTTTTATTTTCAACAAGTAAATATTTAAAAACCATACGCACAAAGCGTGTGAATACATCTTGGCGCGGAATGTGATTAACAATAAATTGAGATAATTGAATGAACCGCGTTCGAATGAATCACTTCAAGTTGCATCGTTTTTATCTAAAACTGCGCTCCTCTTAGTCTCTCGGTCCGAAATGTTGAATAAACGGATGGAATATAAATATACGTGCAATTAAATCGACGATTCTACCCCGGTGGAGGAAAAACGGAAAATAACGAAGCAGCAGCCACGAAGCGGCGTCGAGGTTGAAAACGTTGAAGATGGCTGGTTGGCAAACGTGGGTCGTTGACATCGTCCCGTGATTTTCCTCGACGATCACACGGATGCACCTTACACGTGTGTGCACGTGTCCATTACGTCGTTCTACCCACCCTTTCTCCCTGCTCTCTGGCATCGAATGGGTGAAAAGAGCTGTAGGGGGTTGGAGGGTGAGGAGGATCGAACCCCTCACCACCAGTTGCATACGCGATTGCATCCACCCCCCACGCAATTATCTCATCCAGTAGTGGAAGCTTCTATAGATAGATCGATATTCCTCTCTCCTTTCTTTCTCACTTCGTCTCTCGATATTTCTCGCTAGTTTACTCTTTGCTTTCCGAACGAGAGCTCCCTCTTCTGCCGCGGACATCTTCCTTCATTTTTCCTTACTTTATCTGTGGCCGCGCGAATCACGCTTGTATCGCGAACACAGTTTATTTGTACGGATAATTATGCTCCTCTTATGCGTTTATTTTAGACGATTCGACACTATATTGGAAGACCGCCGTCACCGTTGTTTGCGCCGATTTTTCGCGTCTGCCTTTTCCCCGATTATTCTCCTTAGAAACTAGGGTAAAAGAAATCGAAAGTGGCGCGAACATGGTTTCTTCAAAGATCTCTAATTAAAATAACCGCTACCTGGGTTTCGGTTAAGTGTTCCTTTCGTAGGTGACTAATCCTTAAGTTAGTCCGTCAGGGTATAACTAGGGTCTCCGGTCACCGATGATTCACGGTTGTTTGTCAAAAGCAATGTCTCATTGCTCTGTTAGTCTATTTACATAATAAGAGGCTCCAGAAACAATTTATGATAATAGCAGACATTTTTTGTTAACCCTTCGTGCTCCTAATAACCTGCGTTTCAATGTAAAGACAGATCTCCTTACATTTTGCAAAATTTTCTCTGCTAATAGTTAAAATTGAAAAAAAAAAGACGAATCTCGAATAATTATAATTGTAGTCGGTCGCGCTATACATAGCTATTTCCATTGTGGCAGACAACGTGTTAATAGCCAGGAGATAAACTCGCGTCGGTCGGTTTTTACCCTGGCCGAGGAGAGTAGGCGAGGAACAATCGTCGATCTCGTCTGGACTTTGCACGGTTCGATGTCTGACGCTCGTCGTGTTTGTATCGCGCGCGGAAAAATGAAAATCACGACCGGTCGTCGATGCGTCGCGTCCCGTCGCGTCGCGTCGCTTAGGCTAAAAACTGCCCGGCTGCGAGCAACCAGCTCGTGGGTTATTTAAATACCGCGGTTCGCGCTGAAAGTTTTGAGAATTGCGGCCAAAATAACACGTTCGCCAACTGATTCGAGAGAAAAATACTATCGCAAATCGTTCGCCCGAATAATGAAAAGAAAGAAAATTTCTAAGTACGATTGTTCGAGCTTGGGATTGACAATTTCATTAAGACGCGTGCCAATGAAAAAAAAAAAAAAAAATAATTTCGCGATAATCATTCCTGGTTATGTAGCGTTGCAGTCACGGACGAGAGAGTTTATTATATAAGTTACCTCGACGATGACGAACCAGGTCGTCGACGGTTCCGTTTTATCTCGGGGTGACGCACGCGTTGTTGTGCAGCTCGAATCGGTAGCCTTGAACTTCGACTTGGAACGTGTCATTGTCCGAATTGAATTATTGGCTCGATGCAGTTCCGTATCGCGCGCACGCCACCGAGGTTTCGTCGATTTATCTTCGATCGACTCGTTTTTAACGCTTCGAAGCGTCGTTGGTATTGCGAAATTGCACCCTACATCTTTCTCCAGCTGCGTGGGCTAATGAAAATTTGGAAATTTTACAGGTAACAATGCTGGAGAAAGGTTGCCAACGGTAACAGGTTCGGTTCAAAGGAGCACCGTCACGTCGGCAAACCGCGCGCACTCCGCATCACGAAGGATCAGCCATCAGCAACGTCAGCAGCAACCACCTCAACAGCAGCAGCAGCAGCAACAACAGCAGCAGCAGCAGCAGCCACAGTCTCAACAACAATCGGCGCAACAGGCGAGGATACCAGTAGGATCCTTAAGGAACTCGGATGAGCACGGATCGAGAGCCAGCTCGGCACAGGACGTTTGCGATAATTCCAACGATTCCGGGCTCGGCTTCGAGGACCGTCAGCAACATCTCACGAACGCAACCGTTAGTCCATTTTGCATGCATATACGTATCATGGACGATAAGTTTTCAGACCATCCTTTTGCACCTCCTCGTCGTCTGAGACGCATCCTGTAAAGGGATGGGATCAATTTTGCTATGTATATTCACGAATCCGATCCAGTTGCAAAATAAAAGTTTCAATTGATGGGGTTCGAATATTACTGATAAGCGGTGATGTATTTCAAATTAAACAGGAACGGTTAACGTTTAGCCATCAGCTATTCTACTCTGATCTTTTCTATTCAATCCCCCTCCACGTGATTGCAAATCGTTCAGATATCTAAACATGAACAGCGCTTAGATTATTAATCCACGAGTCGTTTGTTTATGTATCTCGCGACGTTTTATCACCGCAAACGTGACAAAGGCTTACAGAAGAGACCCCTCCGTTATCGATGATTGTAATATCCCCTGATCGCTTCGAGGATCTACGAACCGAAAGGAACAACGTCGCTTTCGAGTATTTGTGACTAGGGCCGCGATTCCAGTCAAAGTTCTGTTAAAAGAAATATCGCTAAACGTCTAGTATCCGCGAAGATACTCGAACGAGATGAATTACTCTTCTCTTTTCCTTTCTTTATCGTGCTGCACAAATATGCGCCTCTCGTAGAACGAGCTTTGATTGTTATCAACACATGCAACGATAACTTATTCTCGAGCCGAGTGTTGCGTAACACGAAACGATACAGTACATACGAAAAGAGCCTCGTGTAGATTGCGTTTTAATAATCTATATTACTTGCAATTCGGTTGCGATATATTCGATGATAATTGAGTAAACATTACGAGCCGGTTGAGCCACGCTGATATTGACTCAAAGTATCGTGGACGATTAACGAGCCACGCCAAAAATTAGCGGTGGGAACAAGTTAAATACGTGCTCATAAATCCGAATCAATTCTAACATCCAAATAGAGTATTCAGGCTTTCATGGTACGATTCATGTTACAGATGATACTGTTCGAAATTGAAGCTGTTAAATTTATTTATAAAATATTTATACGATATTTGAATAGATTTTTGTGTTTTAAATTCCACGGCAATTATGAATTTCTCCCTATATTAATTTTCGAATCTATTTGTAAAGTGCTTGAACCTATCACTACTAAAAATGTATCAGTTAAATGACCACAGAGCGTGTACAAATAGAATTCATAGTAATTCACGTTTCTCTGTCTTCCTCGTGGCTCGTTCCACTTCCGTTTCCAACACCGTCGGTCTGATTTCCAAACGAGGTCGCATCGTTAGCCCCGAAAACATTTCCCAAGAGGGTCTCCTCAACGTCTTGGAAGCCTCTGAAAGCTTCTCTTCTTCCCTTTATTTCTTTCCCCAATGTAGTTACGCCATCGTCGGTGCACGTGCAATCTAATGCGATCACGCGTAACAGCCACGGGATCGTCCGTTGATTCGACGAGCACAGTGACACCGGGTCTCTAACGGTAGTTGAACCCGAGGCAACCGATCAAGCGGGGTCTGATTCGTTCAATTGAGCCGACAAACGAGTTGTACGAACGAACGATCAACTTATCGCTCCCTCTGTCTCTCCCTTTTATATTTTTCTTCTTTTTTTTTTCTCTCTTCTTTATTCTACATATCAATTCGTTGTTTAACAGGCTTGGAACGGCGCCGGCGAGGAGGACTCGAAGAGAAGGAAGATGGACATCAAGCTCGAGTCCGAGGATGCGAATTTCGCGTTCCCCGAGGTGACGCATTCCTCGAGCCCTGATAGCAAAACGGCCAATAGAAACAGTTCGAACGGGATAGCTGTGCTGGCCACGATCTCTGGGAACAGGACGGGGAACGGGAGCTCGGGAAGGGTTGTCGAGGTGTCCAGATCTCGTCCAGGCTTGGGTGTCCTCGCGAAGAGGTCATCAGCCCCCCATCAAGGCCCAGTCACCCTCACCTCTCAACTGTGTATGTTCATGGGGACGTGTTTCATTTTTGCCAGTTGCACAGTGGGGTATCTGAGAATTTATAAAATTTAGATAGGATAACGTGTGCATGAATCCCTGTATAAAAAAGAATGAAAATATAGTATAATGCGTTTCTCATATAATAAACTATAATTCTATTTGGAACAAAAGATATTTGGACCATGAAAGATAATTATACTCCATTATTAAATTAAATTAAAATTGTGGCTTTCTCCCTGGTCCGTCGTTCGAGGATTAAGAAACGCATTATATTGTATTTCTTACTTTTTTAGGAAAAGGGTCAACAATCGTATACGTGTAGGTACCCTCTTTATATTGTAGAATATCGTAGAAACCATCAGCGAAATTTCGATACTCCACTCTGCATCAGGATCAATCACATTAACCCTTTAAGTTTTATCGAAACACGACGCTGAGTTTATCGATCTCGTCGTCGAAGCGAGTCTCGTTCGATGACACAGGCTACCGAAAATTTATTACCCTTGATATTGTGGATTTAATTCTTCTTCTTCTTTTTTTTTCGTTGGCGGAGATATCGACGACGAGGTCTCCGCGCTGGGTCACGAGGCAGAGATAACAGGGCCCATCTACCCAGACGTTCTTGAATTTTTTCGAAAGAAGGATTTACGAGAATTGTATCCGTTGTCGTAATTACTCTTGTAAGCGTAACGCTGCGTTAACAGATAATTTAACACGATACGGTGATTTGCATAGAGATTCGATCTTTGTTTGCCGACGGCAATTGCCTTAAACAGATAACGTTCGGTTTTCGTCGCATGTTGTTTATTTGTATGGTTTCTCGTTAAATCGTTCAGTTGACTCGATCGAATCCCTCGTTTCCAACGATACTGCACACCTTTATGCCAATTTTACCCGGGACGATACCTTATCTTCGTTGTCTAGGAACCATTTGCCTCATTTCAAATAAATCATCGATATCGGGCAGTGATATCGAATGTAGGTCAAACGAGATTTCAGGGAACAGACACATCTGAACGTCGCTCTCGTATTTGCCTGAAATTTATCCTCTTTTTCCTGTTATTCCCCACTCTACAACCATCCCCCTCTGGTTACGGGGCCAAACTTTGCCAACGTGTTCGGAATGATATTTCAAATAAAAAAGATGTTTACCAGATATGAAAGGAGCATTAGTATAAACCATATATGATCAGCTTTCGCTTTATTATTTATTTGTAATTGCATTTAACGCTGATATATTGTACTGATAGTCGGGAAAGGTTCATGTACCCGTAAGCTCTCTAAATTGTAATGAAAATATTTACACTCCTCCGGAGAAATAATTCTGTTAATTTTTCGATATCATTATCTGTCGCGTACAGAGTAGCATCGAGTTACGATGGAACACGGATTTTCCCTTCACAGTTGTAAAATAGATAAACGAATAATTGCCTTATAAACATATTTACGCTATTTAAGACGATTTTAAATTCGGTGTTTCATGTACGATTCACAGGCAGTGCTTCCGCAGATGGAAAGGTGCAATTGCAAATAATCTGCCAGCCGGAGCAGCAGCACCGGGCCCGTTACCAAACCGAAGGATCCCGAGGAGCAGTGAAGGATCGTACCGGAAACGGGTTCCCAATCGTTCGTCTGGTCGGTTACGACAAACCGACCACGCTTCAAGTCTTCATCGGCACGGACCTCGGCCGTGTCGCGCCCCACATGTTCTACCAAGCTTGCCGTGTCAGCGGCAAGAACTCAACCCCGTGTATCGAGCGTAAAATCGACGGTACCATCGTGATCGAGGTGGACATGGATCCAGCGAAAGACATGATGGTCACCTGCGACTGTGTCGGTATACTGAAGGAGCGCAACGTCGACGTGGAGCACAGATTTCCACAGGAAGCCGGTGTACTTCAGGGACGCAGTAAAAAGAAGTCGACTCGTTGTCGCATGGTTTTTCGCACGACGATCGCTCGTCCCGATGGTAGCACGGAAACTCTTCAAGTCTGTTCTCAACCGATAGTCTGTAGTAAGTGTCGCGATAACAATTGTTGATCCTTGATCGTGATTACTGAGTATCGAATGATAGATTTTGAAACATAGAAAGTTTAACGCTATTTGATGACATGTATAATCTTTTATTGCGCCCCTTTTACACGATTCCCGGTCAGACCTAATCTAAACCTACATCTTATTTTAGCCTTAAAATTACTTAAGGCTAATCCTGTCAGATACGATGTGTTTCAAAATCCGAGCCATTTGATACGCAACTAGTTGATGTGTCGTCAATAATACTTAAAGTATGTTCTTTTCTCTCAGCTCAACCACCGGGTATACCGGAGATCTGCAAAAAGTCCCTCACCTCCTGTCCATGCACCGGTGGATTAGAATTGTTTATACTTGGGAAGAACTTTCTTAAAGATACTCGTGTAGTGTTTCAATTAGACAACGACGATTTGTCGAGTAGCTTAGAACCGCACTGGGAGTGCGCCGTCTTACCCGACAAAGAGTTCCTGCAACAGACGCATCTGGTATGCGTGGTGCCTGCATACAGGCGGCAAGATCTTGCGCCCTCGGAATCTGTTAGCGTGAAATTGTACGCGGTGTCGTCCGGGAAAACGAGCGAGCCTCATACGTTCCTTTACACCGCCGCGTCCGCAGCTCCGGAGCCATCGGTGGGCAAGATCGAGCCCATCACGCCGCCATTGTCAACCTCGAACGGCGATTCCGCGTTAGCAACGTCCCCAGCAGCAGCCGTGTCCTTAACCACGGGTGTATCATCGAACAGTAAGTGAATTTTAATCCCCGAATGGCAAGTAGCGAGCAACAATATAAATGAAATATATTTAAACGAGAGTACGATGATGTTTCAGCTCTGATCACACAAGCAGCCGCGGGAACGCCGAATTTCTTGACAACGATACAGCCACAACAACCATCCTCTCAAACGACGGAAACTCTTAAAAGCGATCCAAGCCCGCCACCAGTAACGGCATCGTCTCAGGTAACTCCAGTTCTGATGTGGGCTGCTCAAAGTCCAAATTGCCAAAATTCCCCGCCTGACGTGATGATGCCGCCGCCAGCCATGGTAGCGAATCCCCTTCTAAATCGCAGATCGTCTTCGAACCTTCAATTAATCCTGCCCGATAATTTGAAGACCGAGGTGCTAGACGAGAATAGCGAGAACAGTATGATTAGCGAGAACAGCATGCAAAGCATACCAACGCCGACCGCGAACGGTTCGACGGGGACGAGCCCGTTGCAGCAGCTCGTGAACGAGAATTCCAGGGAAACGCCGCAAACGAATATGATCAGATCGGTACCGGTTGCGGCGAACAGTTCCCCGGTACAGGAAGCGGTCAATCTACTCGGTGTGGTCGATTTGATGCGGAACCAACATCCGTTGTCGATGGTGTCCACCCACCAGAACACCTACGGAGGTATGCACGAATCGTCTCAAGTCAAAGTTCTAAGTCCTCATCATATCAACAAAGAAACTAACCCGATGTTACCGGCAGAAGGCAGCCCTAACGGAACTCTACAGGGTGGCGGCGGTGTTGTTGATCTCCGAATGAAACATCATCAGTCAGAGTTCGGCAATTTGTCGAACTTCACCGGTACGTCGAACGGACAGCTACCCGCCCAGAGTGGGCATAGCGTAGAGAAATACCTGAATCATATCGAATCTAACGGGAAGGAGGCTGAGAGTCAGGAGAACGGCTTCGTAGGTAGTATACAGCAACGAGCTTCCATAATCGCTACAGGACGACAACCTCAGCAGGGACAAGCTTCCAACATTTTAGCCTCTCCGAATCAAGGTGTGAAGCTGGATACTCTCGTCAATTCAGGCGCGGAATCTCATCAATTAATGTCACCGCTTCGCACCGTCAATCCCAACAGCAGCACCATGATGAACCACGTGTCCGCGGTGACCGATCACGAGACGATCCCGAGCCCTCAACAGAGCAGAAACAGTCCACCGATTCCCGTCAAGACGATGCTCCTCGAAGCTTTGATGCCGGCTCAAAGCGTACCGCCTTTGATTGGGAACGGCGGGACCACCGTCTCGTCTCCTGCCTCGGTTGTCCAGGAGCCGACCAACGGCGACAGTCTGCTCACGACTATCAACGCTGCCCTCTTGCCAGCGATGCAAGAGCCAGTCGTTACTACGAGCGGTACGTCGAATTCTAGCGTTACTGTACCATCCCATAATCAGATGCAAGTTACGAACGAGACTATGTCGATAGCGGCGGAACATATTCCGCAGATTCAGGGTCTTATTCAGCAAGAAGTTGTAGCGATGCAACAGGCGCAGCAAGTTGAACAGGTTGTCGCGCAGGCACAGCAGCAGGTGGAACAAGTTGTCGCTCAGGCGCAGCAGCAAGCGGTCCAGGCTGTACAACAGGCGCAGCAACAGGTTGTCCAGCACGTGGTGCAGCACGCGCAAGTTGTCCAGCAGGCTGTACAACAAGTACAAGCGGCGCAACAGGTTCGGGCTGTGCCGGCTGTTCAGCACGCGATGCAACAGGCTACGCAGGAAGTGGTCCAGCAGGCGGTGCAGCAAGCGACTCAGGAAGTGGTGCAGCAGGTGCAAGCGGTTCAGCAAGCGGTGCAGCAGGCGCAAGCGGCTCAGGCGATGCAACAGGCGGTGCAGCAAGATATAGGTTCGATGTTGAACCAACCAGCTGGTTTCGTTGCTGAGGCTAGTTCTGCTCTGGCGAGCGGTGCGGCTCAGGAACCGTCGCAGCAGAGACTGACCACTGCTGCGGAACAGGCGATCAACAACGTGATCACTAACGCAACACAAGATATAATTAACAATCGACCCATCACCACGACCACCGCGCATGCCATCATCGCGACGAAAAATATATTAAACAGCGTCGCCACTCAAAGCGCCCAGCTGATGAACAGCGCTATGGAGGGAATCTTACCGAAATCTCCGCCCGGTCAAAATAATATCGTCGAACAGGTAGCGAGCAAATCACCGCCTGTTGCCTTACCCGTCACCCCCAACAGACAGAATGTAAACCCACCTATTACAAATACGGCCAACAATACAACTGGAACGACGGTTCGAAAGCAAGAAGATGGTATGTTGCCTCAAGAGCTTACATCGATGTCAGAACATGATCTGTTGAGCTACATAAATCCAAGCTGTTTCGATTCTCAGAATAACTTTCTTATGTAGTACTGCCGTATTCTTGTCATTAAAATACGTGTATAATTGTATCCGATCTATTCGGATGCAACGGACGAAAGAGAGCGTGACTGATTGAGTGAGAGAGAGAGAGAGAATGAAAAAAAAAACAAAGTAATTAATTCCAATCAATTGTGTATAAGAAAGTATATTCTTGGCTCAGTACGAGTTATATATATTTGTGCCACATTGTCGTTTCAGACTTTGTATGTGATAGAAATGAAATCCGTTTTTATATAATGAAAATGGACGAAGTTTGCACCACCTTTGTAATAATTGAAAAACTATTAACTATCGTGTTAAGTAAGACGGGCGCACGAGAGCGCGACAATTAGGGTTTTTCTTTAACCTTCCTTTTTCTACGAGTTGTCAAATGTGATAGTTAATTTTTATTTATCTCCATCACGTCTCTTGCGCATCCAGGTGCCTTTTCTCTATTTGTAAAGTTAACCGGAGATTGGTATTTCTCTCTTGGAAGAAAAGAAGCATCGTGAATACGATACGCGTGTGTGTATATGTAATTTGTAATAATCGACAATGTACTGACCCCACTCAACTCTAAGCGGAGCCACGGGAATTGAGTGTTAGTAAAAAGTTACATTCTCACGGTACCTTAAAAAAGTAGCGAATCTACGAATCATTAATACATTTAGTGCATCATTCTTGACTTGATTTCATTCTAACAAATGAATCATCTTGTTGTTTGACGTGGTTTCTATTATTATGTTTCTAAGTATAATATATTTCGTATGTTGTTTAATAATTAAAAAATTTTTTTTTGTTGATAATTAATACCAATTAATAGAAGATTATGTGATTGCGTTGATGCTGTTATTATAACTACTAGACAAATACAGAACGACAGAGAGATTATATTATATATGTCAGTACGAAAAATAATATAGCAAATATATCATTGAGATTTATATATAATACGAATATATATATATATATAGAGAGAGATAAATAGATATATGTGCATATAAGTATATATATGTATATCTATATATTTTTTACGTTTACCCAAAGAGAGAAGCAGATGATCAGATAAAGTGAGCTTATTAAAGATATAAACAAAGTCTATATTATATATTGTAACGTCATGTTATATCGGGGTTTTCCTCCCCTTTGTTCAACGTAAGGGGTGCTATGTACCACGTGTACGAATACTCGCCAACATTATCTAGTAGAAAAACAGATTTTATAATGAAACTATTGAAACGTTTAATGTCGTGATATGTCTTTGTAGGAAAGTATATATTTTATATCGACCATCTATTTCACGTGTCGCGTGTTTCAAAGGGCCGTTAAAACAGATGAAGGAGGAGAAAAAGAGCACGAGTGCTGCATTAATTACATAAACAGATCATTATAATATGTGGCATGTACTTCGTAAAGTTGTTTGTAACAATTACTCTTCACTGTACGCACATTTGTAGCATCGTCAGCCTAACCACTGAGAAACAAAATTCAATGAACAATGTATTATCATTTTGCTCCTGTAAATCGAATAAATGTTTCACAGCATCGCTTTCTCGATAATTTTCTCAGTTGATATGGGTATGGATTTTAGTATTAGATACTAATAAACTATGAAACAATGCTATACTGTATTTTGTCAATTTTGTATAGTATTTATAGGTATTATTTTACAAGCGTGACCAAAAGTTTGATAATTAACAATTAGAAATTAAATAACATACTAAATTCAACTAAATTATATACTTTGCCATTTTCCTTTTTCGCCTTTCACTCTGCCTTCTTTCAACAATTTATCGAGGTGGCGTTCTACGTTATAAGCTGCCGCTTCCCACAAGATTTGCGAAGTATCCTAAATATACGAAATAAATGTTGTATAAAGCCTGTTGTGCAAATGTATAAATTACATGTTTTGTATTCTGATACATATCATAAATCAAGTAATTATATTACCGTGTACATCTGTTTCACAATATCCATTTCAGACATTGCATTATCTCTTGTATTTTCCTCTAAAATTCCTAAAATATCGGATTCTCTTTTTTCTCTATGTTTAATATAGTAATTAATTGCAGATATTGGATCTTTTATAATTGACCCGTGACCTGGGTAAATTGTTTGTGGTTTCATTGATAAAATCTTTTTTAGAGAAGCTATATATTCATATAAATCCTCAAATATTGCAGTTCTTTCTCCAAGAATACAATCTCCGCTAAATAATATTTGTTCATCTTCTAATAAAAGACAAGCATGATCACTTGAGTGTCCTGGAGTATGTTCAACACAAAGTTTAGCACCCTCAACTTCCATTATCTGTTTATCCTTTAATGCTTGCCATTTAGTTGATATTTCTGCTTTGCTTGTGCCTTTATCCTCTGGAGATCTAGGTAATTTCCAAACTGTGCTAGCTGTTCCATTAGCATTCATTGTCTTTAAAAAATCCTGAACCTGATTAACTCCACCTAAGTGATCGGAGTGCCAATGGGTGACTATCAAATGAACAACTACAGCTCTCTCTTCTTCTAATACTTTTTTTAATAATTTGGTATACTCTTTGGCAGTTTTTCTCCCGCCTGCATCAATTAATATACGCCTATGATAATAGTAAAATTTCTGTCACATGCATCATGCTCAACATTGCAAAATGTATAAAATTAAGAATTCTTACCCAGGTCCTGTACCCACAAGATATGTATTTGTACCTTGCAATGTCATAGGCCCTTCGTTGCATCCTAAAATGCGTATCACCTTTCTAGATAATCTTGATATTAGAGGTAGATTTGTGAGAGGTTTCATTTTTCAAACATCCACTGATAATTCAACATCAATGACACTATATGATACAATGTGACCTTCACAAATGCATGTAACTTAACTGACTAGTGAATATATATCAAACGAACTGCTGTAACATTGCTATTTAACTTTGACTATGAATGAAAGTCCATCTCCTACTCTGTACATATTTCTCTAGCATAGATTGTGACCTTTGCAACGACGACATGTCAGATGAATCATTACAGGCAGTGACTACAGATCCAGGAAGATTGGACATGCCTTTGTGTTCGAGGGATCAAGATTTAGGGGGTCTCAGGCAGAGAGCGCCAACGATGCATCGGGGTCTCTGACACCCCAAGATGATATCAGGTAGGTATACAGAGAGCGCCAGCGATGCATCGGGGTCCCTGACACCCCGGATACCATAATGTCGGTAGGCAGAGAGCGCCAACGATGCATAGGGGTCTCTGACACCCCAAGATGATATCAGGTAGGTATGCAGACAGCGCCAGCGATGCATCGGGGTCCCTGACACCCCGGATGCCATAATGTCGGTGGGCAGAGCGCGCCAGTGATGTATCGGGGTCCCAGACACCCCGGATGCCATGTCAGTATATAGGGATTGTCAACGGTGTTTCGGGGTACCAGACACCCCAGGATCGAATCAGGTCGTACCCATCACTATCCCGAACAAGTGACTTTCATGATTTGTTCGTTTTTCGTTCTTATATTTCGCTAGATCCGGTCAAACCCATCACTATTCCGAACAAGTGAGTTTCACGATTTGTTCGTTTTTCGTTCTTATATTTCGCTAGATCCGGTCAAACCCATCACTATTCCGAACAAGTTAGTTTCACGATTTGTTCGTTTTTCGTTCTTATATTTCGCTAGATCCGGTTAAACCCATCACTATTCCGAACAAGTGAGTTTCACGATTTGTTCGTTTTTCGTTCTTATATTTCGCTAGATTCGGTTAAACCCATCACTATTCCGAACAAGTGAGTTTCACGATTTGTTCGTTTTTCGTTCTTATATTTCGCTAGTTCCTTCGGGGTCCCTGACACCCCGGTAGCGTAACATCGGTGTCACCGGTGTCTTGGGGTCTCAGACACCCCGAATGCCGTAGTGTCGGTAAGCAAAGAGTGTTATTGGTGCTTCGGGGTCCCTGACACCCCAGATGCCATATTGTCGATACGCAAATAGCGTAAGTGGTGCTTCGGGGTTCCTGAGACCCCAAGATGACATGTCGGTATGCAGAGAGAGTCCCTGGTGCTTCGGGGTCCCTGGTACCCCGGATGCTATAATAGTGGTATGCGGAGATATTCACCTGCGGTTCGGGGTCCTTAATAACCCAATATGATATTAGGTCGGTACGCAGAGTTAGTTACGGGTGCTTTGGGGTCCCTGGCGCCCGTATGGTATTATATTGGTATGTGGAGATACTCACCGGCATTTTGGGGTTCCTGATACCCCAGATGATATCATGTCGGTATGTAGAGATAGTCATTGGTGCTTCCGGGTCCCTGGCACCCCTGGATAATATCAGGTCCGTATAAAGAGGGCACAACCAATATAATTTTTTTTCAGAATTTATTTAATTTACTTCATTTATTTTTTTTTGCTTATTAAATAGGCTCATCAAAGAGGGATAACATTTATGATTATATTCCTCTTCAGGGTTTCAATCGAGGACCCCATTTATTTTACTTTTTCTAGTTATTTATAGAATTTTATCCCTCATTATAGGCCAAGGCCATCTCAGTATCCCTTACATCCCTGCATTCCTTCCTTCCCAGCATTCCTGCAACCCTTAAATACCCTTTTTTTTTTTTTTTTTTTTTTAACGTGGTGGAAATCTTCAGAAAGACACCTTCAGCCTCCCTGGGGAGGGGCTGGAGGTAGTGTGGGATTTTTACCCACTAAAACCACCACGGTGGCCTGCACTTGGGCGGTAGGGAGGGTCCCATGACCCTCCGCCATGTGCCAAACTCCGCCGACATCGGGGGCCACACCCGATGCCGGTGCTCTTCGGGCCGCGTGCAGTGGAAATCGGGGCCCCAGCCCCGAACCCCTACGGAATTCCATTACATCCCTCGTTCCGTTACATCACTGCATCCCTTACATCCCTGTATTCTTTTCATTCCCACATTCTTTTCATCTCCACATTCCTTTCATTCCTATGTTCTTTTCATCCCTACATTCCTTACATCTCTTCATCCCTTAAATCACTACGTTGTTATCATCCCTACATTCCTTTCATCCCTACATTCTTTTCATCCCAACACTCTTTGCATCCCTACATTCTTTTCATCCCTACATTCATTTCATCCCTATGTTCTTTTTATCCCTACATTCTTTTCATCCCAACACTCTTTGCATCCCTATATTCATTTCATCCCTATGTTCTTTTTATCCCTACATTCCTTACATCTCTTCATCCCTTAAATCACTACGTTGTTATCATCCCTACATTCCTTACATCCCTACATTCTCTTCGTCCCTACATTCTGTTCATCCCTACATTCCTTTCACCCCTACATTCCTTTCATCCCTACATTCCTTTCATCCCTACATTCTTTTCATCCCTACATTCCTTTCATCCCTACATTCCTTTCATCCATACATTCCTTTCATCCCTACATCCTTTTCATCCCTTCATTCCTTACATCTCTGCATCCCTTATAATAAATATATTATAAAGACTGCTTCGAGTAAAGGCAAGTAAAGGTAAGTTAATTCCTTTTTTCTAGGGGGCGCTATTTTCTCGAGAATTTCGCGAAAATTTCGAAAAAACAGCGCCCCCTAGCGGCAAAAATTCGAACTAAAATCTCGACCTCGAGTCAGCGCCATCTGGTGCTAGAAAAAGGAACTAAAGCTTGCAGAATTTTTGGCCCTCTGGCGGCAAAAATGCGAACTAAAATCTCGACCTCGAATCAGCGCCATCTGGTGTTAGAAAAAGGAACTAAAGCGTGCAGAATTTTTAGCCCTCTGGCGGCAAAAATGCGAACTAAAATCTCGACCTTGAATCAGCGCCACCTGGTGTTAGAAAAAGGAACTAAATCTTGCTCAATTTCTGGCCCTCTGACGGCAAAAATGTGAACTAAAATTTCGATGTCGAATCAGCGCCTTCTGGTGGCGAAAAAATGAACTAAATTTGTATAAAATCGCAGACCTTATAGCCGCAAAAATTTGAAGGAATGTGAGGGATGTAAGGGATGCAAGGGATGCAAGGGATGCAGGGATGTAAGGGATGTTGGGATATAAAGGAGGCAGGAATGTGAGGAATGTAGAGATGTAAAGGATAAAGGCATGTAAGGGATGCAGGGATGTAAGGGATGCAGGGATGTAAGGGATGTTGGGATATAAAGGAGGCAGGAATGTGAGGAATGTAGAGATGTAAGGGATGTAGAAATGTGAGGAATGCAGGGATGTAAGGGAAGCAGAGATGTAAGGGATGCAGAGATGTAAGGGATGAAGAGATGTAAGGAAGTTAGGGATGAAAAGAATGCAAAGATGTAAGGGATGAAGAGATGTAAAGGGCCATGTGTTAATTCTAATTAAGGGGGTAGACATGGTTAATGCAGCGAGGTGACATTACCGGCAAAAATGGGCCTATCTAGGAATAATTTATGAACTTTTATGATTGATTCTGAATCTACATACGTGTAGCGATTTTCTAATATAAGTTTTGTAAGAATCCTGTCACTAATTAATTAATTATGTACCCTTATAGTTCTCCAGTGCGCCGCTATTCATTTATAGTGTCGAATTCCCTCTCCATGTCGCGCGCAAATTCATGAGCTATTGAATACAAAGTAAAATGCAATAAAAGTAAAACACGTTTCTCAATTGATTTTCATTCTTCGTATATTAAATGTGAACAAACATGAACAACATTTACAACGTATTATCGGCCGAATAATAGGATCGATTAAAGATTAAGTACACGACAATTCAACTCGATTTGATTATCATATTGTCATTATTAATGACGGAAGGATCATTAATATTTTCAGGAATTGTTTGTTAAATATGACACGTTTCATTGTTATTATTTGCGATTATATCTCTCCAAAGTTATGTACTTCTCTTTCTGTTACTGCTATCCTTTTGATTGTTCCTCAGCGACGAGCATGATTCACCTATCGCGACAGATCATTTTAATGTGCCCGTGTTATTTCGTTGTCACGTTTATCATTGTTTCCTTACTACGTCGCGATAGGAAAATTGCGTTTCACTTACGAGCTACGACTTTATTGCAATAGAAAGGTCGTAAGCAAAACGATCTTCGATTACGAACATTTGCTCGAACTCTAAGCACATACACGACCGACGTAAAGTGTGTTCATCACAATCGCGAACCTTATCTCAAATAAAATACCCGCGAAAATTACAGTTTAATTACAGTCACTTAATTACATAATTACATAAGTATAATTTACTCGAGCACGTAAAAGTAAGCCGAAAGTAAATGTTCGGGTCCCGTGTTCTCTTCCAGCCAGGAGAATATATTCTCTCGCGAGAAAGGAAAACAAAGTTCTTATAAAAAAGGTCTAAAATAATTCATCCTTTGGTCGCGTTTAGGCCGTTACCTCGCTCGACGAGCATTTATCGAACATCGCGTCCAACACTTGGGTGAACTTCAAGTGCCTCTCCTCGGGTGCCACGGTAGCACCACGGCTTCCCCATAAGAATTTTATGTGAAACTCCGTTCGAAACGCGTCGGATAAGAGTTCGTCGCTTCTGGAACCCTCGAGCACGATCTCCGCGTTTCTACGGAACAATGGTAGGTTCTCGGTCATCTTTCGAGCCGATTCCAAGTGCGACCAAACGATCGACAGACCGCAATCAGGCGCTGAGTTTTCCCATGGGGATAGGATAGCTGCTGCCAAGCCTGATGGGGTTACGGTTCCTGAAACGATCAGTAATTATGATTTTAGAAACGAACAATAAAGGAAACTCATGATACTAGTTATTAATCCTTCAAGATATCTCTGAGTAGTGCACCTAAAATGTCCTCAGGACCGCGTTCTCCCAACAGAGCGACGGGCAGCAGATGTGGCAGTGTAGTATTGGGAGCTTGAGGGTTCGTGCACTCGTTCATCGCCCTAAGGGTGGGTCTCAGCTTCGCCTCGAAACTGAACGCCTCGTCCGTGTGTTTCTGTCTCAACAGATGCCACGTGTTAGCCAGCCTCTGGATCTGCGGCAAACACAGACCAAGCATCACGCCGCAGAAACCGTACAGATTGCCCAGAGCAGTCTTCGTGTCGATGGCCACCTTGATCCATTTGCTGATCGTGGCAGCCCTCTCGATCGCGGTGGCTCCAGCCAGCACAGTCACCGCCACCAACAGCTTCAAACACTCGGACCTCTCGATCAGGTCTATTCTAGCTTGCCTGCCATGCGGCAAGGTGGCTAGCTCGATGCCACTAAGTCCGTTTCTGTTGCCCGGGCCAGGCTGAAGAGCTATCTCGAGGTCGATCTTGGTCAGGTGTGAGGCCAACACTCTGGGCGCCGAATCGTGCAACATTCCGGACACCCCTCTCAAGGCAGTCGGGTCGAGAGGCCTGTGTTCACCAGCTGGCAGCAACAGAGTAGTGAATCCTTCGATGTCCAAGGCTGTACTGATCTCCAAGGACGGCGCGGCTACAACTAGCTGCTCCTCCGCTGATAATTCGTACTCGTTACCATTGTTCCCGTTGGTACCATCGTTGCTGGTGTTGTAGTGGCTCCTGATCACGACCCCCTTGATGGGGACCGAGGAGGATGGATTACTGGTGCCACCAGAGTTGTTAGTCTCGAATTCACTGTCCCCTGACCCGTTTCCACTGTCGCTGCCAGACGCCTGGTAGCCTTGGTGATGATGATGGTGATGATGGTGATGATGATGAGGATGATGTTGATGGTTCAGAGCGTACGGCACCCTTGGTGGCTTTGGTGGAGCCGTTCCAAGGGAGTTCTGATGATTCAGACTCGCTGGCTGGTGCACCGGCTGCTGTTGCTGTTGGAGAGCCGGGTCGGATGTCACCCTGGTGATCTTTTGACGACCCAGCGAGAGGGAACACGAAGGTGGCTGGTTTTGAATCGGCGGAACTCGAGGTAGAGTGCTCGATTGAACCGGTACGTGAGGTACTGTCGTTTGCTGGTTCGACGTTTGACGAGCATCGTGCTGGTCCGAGGGATGGTGCTGGGCGGACAGAGAGTGGCTACGCTGTTGTTTCCGTGGCAGACGAGGCGGGGAACCGGTCGACAAAGACGACGACGAGGGACTGGAACAGTGTTGGCTGTTGGTCGAGGCTGCGACACAGGTCAAAGGAACGGATCTTGGTTTCGGGGTGATTATTCGAGCCCCGCTCGCCTGGCTTATCGGTCTACCACTGCCCACGTAGAAAGTTATCAGGTCTGCTACCGTGTCGAACGCCTCGTCCTCGAATTGGTATTGGGCTCTTTCGTATACAGTCTCCGGTTGGATGACCACCTGTTAATTAAAAAATGTCAGTTAATTCGTAAAATCACGTCGCGTTATTGCAATGATTCGAGGCTATTCACCCTGTTGATAACGAAATGAAGCGGTTGACCCTTCCATCGAACCGTGAGCACATAGTTTCCGGGTTGCGAGGCACAGTCGCGAACCAAGAAGTCGCCGTCGTTGGGCACTTCCGCTTCAGCGCCCTTTCTGCCACCCCGAAGAGTACTACCGTGGTACCAGGCGTGAGATCTCAGATCTCTAGGATCCAGGAGTCGAAGTTCTCGCTCCAGAAGTTTGCGTGTCGACTCCTCCGGTGGCTCCTGAATTATTGTAATTTTAATCCTAAAGTTTCTATTCGCTCGGTTACAAATGAAATAGCTTTATTTTTTCTAATTCTTTTAATAACCGGTACGTATGACTTTCTTTAATATCAATCTATGAAAAAGGGAGTTAACGATTACTATACATCATTTCTTCTATAAGACGGTCGAGTCAATTAACCAAGAAGTGTCTGGACTCTGCGAGACCGCAAGATTGGCTTAACAAGAACAGCCTTGAGTACTTGATCCATCGAGCGACTTGGCGTGTCACGTGTGAAAGCTGGTTTATCAAGTCGGTAACAGAAACGAATCAATTATCAATTCGCGTTAGGTTTCATTAGAGGCTCTCAAATAAAACGATACATTATACATTTCTGTTTAATCGACCCTATCTAGAGTTATTTATCCACAAAAAGGGATAGTTTTATTCACTCAAATTTTCACTTTTCACTTCCTTAATTCAACCTCGCTAAATGAATGAAAGAAACAAAGTTTGTTCTAATATCGAAACCTTCACTCACCATCGGTAGATTGGAGTAGTCGTTGCTGTCAACCCTTTTCGCGAGGGATTCGCCCAAACAAGAGTCCCGCTCCTCCCTTCTGATCGCCACCTCTTCCTCCTCCGTCTCGTCGCTCTTCGCCTCCGAAAATCTGAGTGAAAAACACACAAGTTTCCACCGTGAATACCTCACATCTTGCCACCCTTATCACCCTTAGCTTCTCTTTCTCAAGTTTCTACCCCCTCCCAAAAAAAAAAGTTGAAATTCGATAAAATCGTGTTAATGGAATCTCTGTCGGACTGTTTAGAGAAAATTGTGAGGACAGATAGGGTTTGGCCACACGGCTCACCGGCCGAGCGCGCGCACCCCACTGAACTATGTGCGTGGAAAGCTACGACGCGAGAACAGGGCCGTATTTTTGGAGGACCTTCGAGGGGCGCACCGCGGGGTATTAATAGATTAGGAAGAAAGGGACGACGACTTCGTCGCGGCTACGTCTAAGGAAAACATTAAGCTTCTTTTATTTCAACGCCACCAGTGTATAATTATCTTAAATTCAAACGACGGCTATTCGAAGTCTATGAAAGAGTTTTAATGATAAACTAATGAAATTTTTCTAGTATTGTTTTAAGTCTTATAAGAGTAAAATTAATGATTTATGAAGGGGCAAGTTTACGTTACTGGAACAGATCCATCGTGTCGAATCGGTTTCCGTTCATCCACGCTTGCGTCTCGTCGGTTCACGACTGCTTTTTCATCATAGACGACGTTCTTTCGAATAATTCTTCCCTTCGGCTTTTCGAGATTCAGAGTTTCGTGGGTTTCATGGGGTCTAGTCGATAACATCGGGGGGGGTTATTGATCTGTTCGGGAAGTGGGGGGGAGGTTACATACGGGGTAGAGGCGCGCCTGCGTTGAACAGGGCGTTCGATAAGCGTCCTGGAACGCATGGAAACGCATCTGTGGCGGTCTTTTTGTTTACATTCGTCGAAGAAAGGGTTATGCATTGTTCGATGCTGATGTAAGAATGCGGGAGGAGGGCGATTACGCTTGGGGTGGTCACGAATGATCGATAATGTTGCATAAAATTGATGGACTGAGTAACGGTAGAAGTATGGATTCAATTTATTTATATTCTTTTACGTTTAATACCCCATATAATGTAAACGAAACTTATTAGCACATTTTATTGTCGAAACCGAACAAGAACGAATGTTATCTTTCCATCTAAAAATCGTTTTCCTTTCTTAAACAAACGGTGACAGAAAAGTTTATAAAAATAATTCAAATATATTACAGGGCAACGCAATATATTAGGCCTTCCTCCATGGTCCGCCATACGGGGGTTTAAGGAACGCGTTATATTTCTTCCTTTTTTAGAAAGAGGATCGATCATTCTGTAGGGGTTAACAACTGTATATGTTACCCTATGCCTGTTCCTCGAATAAGAAAATAAATTTGGCTATTTGATTACACAGGGTGTGTATACCCTAACACATGGTACCATGGCCCGTTAACCAGTAGTTGCTTCTGAAATTTGTCGAGCAATATCTTCATAGTCTAATATTGATTATTTGATAATGTTCTACGAACTGTTTCACCTGCCGATAAGAATGCGACTTTCCTATTCCAACGCTATTCCTATTCCGCTTGCCAATATGTAAATTCTTCAAAATCATGAAACTCGAAATCATCCCTTCTCTATAATTCATTATTTTCTCGATACTTTTGATGGATCGCGCGTATTTGATACGCTTCTAGAGATAAGGCACGTCGCGAATTTCTGCGAATCGCTACGTCCGCTTGCATTTGAATCGCTCGTTATCTATTTATAAACGTTACCAATGGCTGAAAATCGTTTTCGTCATTTGTACGACGAACCGCGATTTGCGACGATGACTGGTGCAACTCTAAATATAGAAACGGGTTAAAATTTAACAGCGAATGCGGTAGGTAATGGACGTTATGGTTCCAGATCAATGTCCTTGGCTTCCAAGGCCGTTCAAGGATGGATCCCCATTGTCATCGAATTGTTTTCAGGATCACCGGGTTAAATTTCAGGGTACCAAAGAGTCCAAGCCCATTCTTATCTTACCATTCGATAATACCTCGACGAGAAGAAAGATGGAAGACAAGGATGAACAAGATTTTCAAAGGAATTACGAAACAGCTACAAGCTTACAAGGGAACGTTTACAGTTTCCCCCATTGTGCTGTCCTTCCGTTACAGGATTCCCCGGCTAGTTGCCCAAGGGAGAACGTCACTTCGAAGGCAAAGATCGAGGAAAACCGGTTCGAGACCTGCTGGCTCCATTATATGTTTTCGTAACCGGTACTATACCTTGGCATACCCTCCGACAGACTAATTCATAAGTTATAACGTAACAGTCTCGATTTCACTCCCTGGAAAAGTCCTTTCAGGATCTTCTCCGAAGGAGGGACATCTCCCATGTTTCCATTTTATTCGAGGGTCTATCATTTCCAGCCTCCTCGAGTAGTTGTACCACTATGTCCTTCTCGAATGCAATCTTTTTATTCCACTTCCGAAGGATAACTCATTTGAAATATCATAAATTGAAGTTAAACAGAAATTAGTCAGCAAATTGATAAGTTACCTTTGATTCTCCTCGCTCGAATCCTCCGGCGACGGCGGCGTCACGAACAGCGACGGTTCCTTCTGAATAATTACTTCCGGTTGCAGGTGGACCGTGTGTCGCTTATGACAGAGATCCTTACAAGAGGCTGAAGAGGATATACCGTTCTTCTTTCGACGACGACCACTGGCGCCTAGATTCTGCAGGGTGCCCATAGATGGAAACCGGAAGCTCCATGCTATGCCTGTCGAATATCGTTGTAAATAAATTAGTCGCGAACAAAACGATTGAAACGTTCGTTTTTAAAAAATTCTTATCTCCTTCAAGGCTCGTTTCATTCTTTCTAATCGTATCGAAAAGTCAAATCGATCGACTTCTAAACAATCACCAATGAAATTTCCTTCTCTTTCTTTCTGTTATACTCACGCATGCCGGTACTTTTCTGCGCGCGATCTTTGTCGCTCACGATCATCGCAATCCGCACGATGGATCGTGTCGATCGCGTCACCGTTCTTTCGATCAATTATAATTTCGAACCGATGTTTTATTCGCCGCGCGGACAGACCGATCGAAAGGTTGTAAAACGAAGCCAGCCGATACCAGTTATCGCGAACACGAATACCATCGCTCCTCTGTATCGTTCGCTTTTATTTTGCTTAATCTTCTACGCGGTCGATGCAGTTAGCGCATCTTATCTGACACTCGACTGGACGCGCACTCGTTTCGACGAAAACCGCACGCTGACACCTCCGATCGTGTTTCGCTTTTGCTCCACAGATTGTATTCTTCTTCTCGATGAAAGATGTTCTTTATTATTAAGACTGGTTGGATGTTATCATTCTCTTATTACTATCACTTCTGAGAAATCTAAGAAAAACATCTTTCATATTATTCTTCACAATCATTTATAAAACTTTTGATGATTTTTAAAAAACATCATAATTAGTCTTGAAATTAATTAATTTCACAGTATCCACATCAACACTAATGAATCGCATCCTCAGTGTCTCTCAGACGTTATCACTTATTTAATTAAAAAAATCTTCCACTTTGATTTACATGATCGAGAATGGTTCTTCAGTCTCGATAAAAAAAAAAAGAAGGTTACTTAACGTAGCATGATAGGTTGGAATTTGGACTGGATTCACAGCTTCATTCACGCTCGGCGACCACAGGTGTAGCCTTAACAGCCCACGCTCTAAATCAGCTTTCTGTTACCTCAATCTTTAAACAAGCCTTCAATTTAACCAAATCAACGTTCGTTCAACGAGAACTTTCGACACTATTATCATACTGATAAATTTTGCTGATTATCGTAGATAGGCGCGAATTTCGAGCGGATCACGCGCGGATCTTCGGCAGAGTCGATCAGAAACTGAGCTTGCTTTCGCTCCGTTCACACGCGCCGATATAAACCTGTTCCCGATCCTTTCCACTGGCGAACACCGGCTCGTTCCCCACTGAAACTTGACGATTTTTCGCTACAGACGGCTTTCATCCGCCTCGAACCTGCTGAATTCTATCCGTCGCGGGGATTTTTCACGTTCGCGTCACTTCGTCTGCGTTTTGGAGCGTTCCAGTTCCGCTCTGTTTCCTATTGCCTCGCTATCCGTTTGCTATTTCAGTAACTTTCCTTCGGGAAATCGATAGAATTATTTTTCCATACTCGGAGGAAGGAAACATCCTATATTTTCTTGGAAAACCTTTCTACACTTTCGACCATTGTCTTCTCATGTTTCGAAAATAGCATTTCTCTTTTTCCATGATTTTCAGGGTGGTCGAAAATTTCATTCTACCAGCTGACAAGAATTGAAAGGACACCCTGTTGCGAGGACGGAGGAGGTGCAGAACCCTCGGAAGGAAAGGACAGGCTAGAGACGTGGTTTGGGTCTGCTCGAAAAAGCGAACGTTGGAATGCAGGTGTGTTTTGCGCCGTTCGCTTGCTCGCTCCACGTAATACCTGGCGACACTGATAAGCGCCACGTTTACCGAGATAACTATGCAACGTTTCGTGTGCCACTATCGAGCGAAAGAGCCACGATACACGTCGTTTGTCACCACGAAACGACCGTTCAACGTATTCTTCGGAATACATTCTCTCGCGACATTTTAGTTGATCCCGATTGTTATCAAACACGTTTGTTATCAATATTTAAATGTAAATTGTATCATAAAGAGAATGGAAAAAATAAAAATTAATTTGTTACTGAAATTGCATTTGTTAAAGAGTTATTAAACTAATTGTTTAACCCACACATTGAAAGAACGGAATCACCTGTTGCAGCTTCATAAATTTTTCATTAACGTTGCGAACGGGGCGAGTAGAGAATTTGATACAGTAGGAGGATGCAAATAAGACGTTTCTCATTATGACCCAAATACGTGGAGTATTTTATTCTTGCGAACGCATGGAATTTTAACTAAGTTTCAAAATCTGTCGCGAACGTATTTTGATGAGACAAAAAGAATGTTAATATTTCTAAAGAAGCAAGCTTTTCCTTGTCATCGACAATCGTGAGTACTTGGTATAAAGAAAAAAAGGGAGGATCTTTTATTCACCTGCGTTTCCTCTCTTGCCACGTAATTATATGCACGTTTTCCTCGTGACAGGAATCTCAATTTTACGCGTACACTGTTGTTGACTATGTTACCGAGAATTTCAAGACACAGGTTAACGAAACTTTCGACGAGCCAACGTTTCGAAACACAACATTCCCTTGAAATATAGAAAAAGAAAAAAAAGAGAAATTGTGACACAGATTTTAGAAAAATTCAAATGTAGATACTTTGGTCGTATCCGCTCATTTAAATAATTAAGCCTAGAATTGAATGATCGAAAGATAGGATCAATTCAAGAAGAATTTTATTTCATATTTTGAATTTATCTTCTCGGAATCATCGCATTTCCGTTTGCACCGTCAGTGACACGTCACTTTGTAAATAAAAAAGAAAAATGTTTACAGGTGTATCAACCGCGTTACACATCGATAAAACAGTTCTTCGATCGTCCGCCAAATTCTATTTTCGATCAATGAAATGAAAATCATCACTGTGTAACATCTATAGTACTCCAGTAATTTCACTCATGAACGCGTCGAGTGCCCGCAACACGTGTTCCCTGAATCATTGAGTCTCATTACTCACCTTTCACCTTTCATCGAACGTATCATTCGCGCGATCATGCGTTCGCATTCAACACCGCGCACCTCGACCCACACGGAAAAATCATTTTACACTTTCATTCAAATTTTTCGCTCGTCAAATTAGAAAAAAAAAAAGAAAGAAAGAAGAGACAAGGATGTGACACTGACTCTGGCTCCTGCGTGATTTCAATTTGCTTGCGGTTTTTCCCATTTTTCCAGCGGACGAGCATGCCAAAGGTTGCTGGGTCACGTCGTACCGATCCCAGGTATAGAACGGACGAGGTTACAGTCACAAATAAGATGCACAATCCACCGTTGTGACCGTAGCATAATGCGATACCGAGCTGACTGGCTTCGAGAGGAGACGAGTGAGTAGACGAAGGGACGAGCGGATGGACGAGCGCAGAGGGAGAGAATGTCGAGAAGAGAGGGAACGACAGTGTGTATGTTGTTTGTACAATGAAGAAGGATAGAGAAATAATGAAAGAGAGAGAGAGAGATAGATTAAAGTTTAATGAGAGAGGATGAGCGGAGTTGGGTTGATTAATGAGACCAAACGAGGGGATCGTATCGGGTAATGGGCGAGTAAGGGGGTGAAAAGAAATAATTTCTTTTCCTTGGAAATTCTAACTAATAATTATAGTCGTTTTGTAAATTGTAACTGTGGAATGAATAATCGAAATTGGACTAATTAAGATTTGTAATTACAAGGGTTAACGATGAAGAAGAACGATGGTATGGAAAATTTGATTAATTGCCATCCGGTAGATAAAACGTTAAATTCATCGAAAAGTGACAGGAAGAATGAAAGCAAAAGCGGAACGCGTCTGGCAAAAAGCGGATCGAAGAACACACGTGTGACATCTGTTTCGCACACATGGGTGAACCCGTGTCGTCATCGCGGAGAAGCCGGACTTGTAACTGGCAACAAATTGTTGGTCGTTTATTTATGATGGAGGAAAAAAACCGGAATGCAAGTTAACAGAAAATTACACCAAGGACGTCAACTGATAATCGCGCGTCGAATTAAATGGCGCGAAATTGTGACGACCACCTGTTAGATTCTCGGTTTTCTCGTAGAATCCTTCTTTATGCTTATTTATTCAATTCTAAACCGAGACTGTGTAATAAAAATTAACCCATTTCCTAAAAAAGTAAGAAATATAATTATCCTTCGTAGCTCTATAAAGAACAGTTCCTTCAAATGCCAGAACGTGATACTCTCTTGAAACTGTACGTCGTATAAAATGTTTAACCGCGTTGTTACGCAACGAATCATCTCTTGGCCGAGGTTTTCATCGAGCGGAATCGAATCGTGACGCAAAGAACGCACGGTGAATTATTACTGCAAGCTTACGTCAGATGCAACGGTACAAATTGTTGGAAAGGAGCAAGGTTGCGGCTTTAAATCGTGCGATCATTCAGCGTTCACGTTGCTCGAGCAATCTTATTGCACGTATGTCTTCGTATCGTGAAACGAGAGCCTCAATAATGTTATCTAACAACCATGTCTCTTGTTGCGACACGTTCGATCCAGACACACGAGCCATTTTAAATATTCAAACCTCGCTGATCAATTAATTATTCGATCGTTAATATTTACAAAAATCGATGAATTTTTAATATTCTCGCAACACACTGTTCAGCTATAATCGTTTCTTTTGTTTATGTAAAATTATTTCAAAGGCGCCTGGTTGCAGGCAATCGTTGCAACAAAAAACCGGGTTGCATACTAACAGGAGTAAGGAACGGTAACTACGATCTGATATAAAGAATATCTATTATCTGTACAGAGAAACAGATATACGGTGGTCATTTAGGCCATTTTTCTTTTATTGGTGCGAACTTATCAGAATACATCGAGTTTTACAGTCAACGTTCTCTATGGAACTCGTCGTTCCTTTTGCTTTCTATACAACGTACACATACGCGGAATAAACGACATGCATACACGTGCTGGGTCAGGCTGCAAGATCGCACGTTTCCCAAAGAAAATGAAAGCAAAGTTTTTCATCCCTTTCTTTGTATTGTTTCGATTCCATTTGACGTTCTCAACATCCTGACAGTTAATATAAAAAATCCGAGTAATTATCGGCAAACTGTGTGTGTCGCGTTTAGAAACTGCAGCTTATCACGCTAAATTGTACGGATTCTGTGTTCTACGACAGTATGCATGTATATGGTCTCGTTGCGAGGAAATTGACGATTTGCAACAACACAACGAAAGACAATGTATATAATCTTCTTTCTAAATTTTCTAATACCACTTTCACAGATTTTCTTATTCACCGTTAAGCTAGAACAACCCCGCTTAAATGTCACCTATTTTTAAATTGAAGAAATAAACCAGTAAATATTGAAAAATAAATGATTTTTGTTTCGATAAAGTTCAATATATATTTTGATAATTTTAGAATTTCAAACGTAAAGTGTAAGATTATTTCTCTTATTCCTGGTTGTTCTAGGGGGTTAATATTTATGATCTACAGTGATCACGGAGATGTCAAAATACGGCTGGATTCCTGATTAATTTCATCGTCAGATCGAAGTGACTTTTTCTAACACACTGAAAATTTGCATCAATAATTACATCGTCACGTAATAATATCAATATTTCAATACAATCATTACGATATCATGAGTATTACACGTTATACGTTACACATTACAGAGAATAATAATAATTCTTATAATTTTTATAATTTGCGGGTCCGACGACGACGTTAATGAAAAATCCGCGGCCCCAAAAAAAAATACTATACACGTATCTCGTTTCCTGTCGCGTTTCCTTTTTAGTTTACCTTTGCGCACACACTCCAATTAATCGTAAAATGAAATGATTATACCGGCGGTGAAAAATCGTGTAATCAGCGCGATCAGTTGTCGAATATAAAAGAATAAAGTAGCTGTATTTCAGCGAACGAATGTTTCTCCTCGTATTTCGAACAACCTATCGCGCGAGTAGCAGAGAGGATTGCGCAGGGTTCTTTATAAAAGAAGACGGTTTCCCGTCGATAGAAAAAACTGATTTGGCAATGCAAATAACTTCGTGGATTCTTCTATTCGTATCCGTCACGTGTGCCTCTCGTGTTCTTAGCACGAGGTACAAAAGAACCTTGAGTATCTTCGGGAACAAGTAATGTATCTCGAAGAGACAAAGTATATATGTAGGCAGGTACTGTATTATGTTTCAAATTGAATCGATCGACACACGATCTTCGATCGTGGATCATCCGATCGCGTTTCTTCTCGAGAGTATCGGCTACTTCCTTTGCGACCAGCGGAAATTACAGAATCGTCAATGAACGAAGCGGTATTCGCCGCGATTCCGAAGGCCTAAAACAGTGTTTTCATCGGGGTGAAGCTTTGTCAAAATTTGTCAAAATTTCTCTAATTCGAACGATAAATCAGATTTGTATCAGATGAAATATCGATTTCAAAGAACACAAAGATTGTTCGAATAAAAATGTACTTCGCTATGAACTGTTAATCAACGAAAGTGTACATACATTGAAGAATATTCATTACGAAATGACCCTTTTGGGTTCCCTTTTATAAGTTTTCATGGTTGTCTTGCGCGAAAATAGTTGCAAGCAAGCGTTATCGCTCGACACTCGATTCTCTAATACTTTCATGTGTTTCGAGTCTCGATTTCCTTCGAAATCGATGGAGTTTACGATTGTTAAATTACACATATATATCTAAGGTGCCTCTGTCGCACGGTATTTCATTTCTCTTGTTCGAGAAACGAGAATGAAACTGAATGTTTTCCAAAATTCATTGGATGCATAAAATGATAAAATAGGCCAGCTCGTCGTTGTTGAGGGATACAAAGTACAGATATCTTTGTAAATAAACGCGTGAAAGTTTCACAAAAATTGACAAAGTAATTATCGATCTCATTTCTCGAGCAAGAGATCTTTCAAAAATGTTCTAACGGAGAAAAAGAAATGTAGTTACTCGCCTTTCCAGACTCGATTAATTGTGTACACACTGAATTACAACGTGGCTAATATTAACGTTAACTCGTAGTTTTTCATTATTCCCCCAGACAAATGATCGAGAGAAACCTACGCAAGGTGAGAATTTCCAAAATAGACGGAATATTTCCCTTCGAACGAGGGAAGAGATATGAAAGATTCAAGAGCTCTCTGTTTCAAGTGAATTCCAAGTGTAAATTGGTCCAGCTAATTCAGTTGATTAACTTAACGGAATTTAAAATCGATCTGGGGAGATCAAATACACTGTACTTGCACGTTTCGTCTATGATACGAAGACGGCAGAGCCCAATAACGATGACGTTTCAACGTTTATCCTACAAATTGGTCGAGCGTTCGCCAATAAAATCCTCTACCATCGAATGAAAATTGACAATTTCATGCCTCTATTTTTCTTTTTTTTCTCAAAAAAGACAAAAAGTAACATCATTACGAATTTATGTTTGAAACCTTTTTAAAACTTCCATCGAACCTTAAAACTCTATCCTCAATATCAACTTCGTCTTCCAAAAATACAAACTACCACTCATTTTGTTTTCCTCGAATATCTTCTTAAATATACACACGAATATCAGACAGTACACTTACGATAGAAGAAGATAATTCTTCAAATAAAAATTCCAATGAATTATTTCTATAGCTTTCAGCGATCATTTACGAGTTTCAAATGTTTCAGAATATTCCAGCTGGCCGTTCGTTTCATCGCAAAGCCTCGAAAAGGAGCACAATATGTTTCTGTCGACCAGTGCTTTTGTGCGCAATCAATTGAACCTCTTTGCGAAAATGTACGCAAAGACCGTCTCGATGCCTGTCACCCTGTTCCGGTGCTTTAGAGGAGGACGCAACCGGAACCTTGCATCACCTCCGAGATGAACATCGGTGTACCAGCACCCAGTCCACCGTCAGTCTTCTGGTGTTCGTTTTTGTCGTATTCGCAGTCGAAATAGCGGCTCTGTAAAATCCCGACGTTAATAAACAAATCCATAGTCCAACGAGACATTTCACATTTCCATCTGATGTCTCGGTAAACTGATCAATAAAGGGATCATTAAATTTCTCCCGGATACACGGTTCGTTAAATATCGGAATTACTTTCGGAAAACAAAAACAAGAAAAATTGAAAGGGGTGAAATATCAAGGAAACACTGCTAGGTCTGACCTAAATTCAAGGAACGTAAACCCGTTGGATAACGAAATATGAAACTCGAGCTTCTTCTTTCTCTGCAAGGACAACCTACCTGACAATCCAAGCATCTACAATGGTCGCTCATCTTGCAAGTGATGCCCCACTGTTTCGCCACCGCCCTGTACAACTCTTTGCTCGACTTGTGAAGGATCTTGGGCGCTTTTGTTCTATTATCTTCGCCAGACGCGTCGTTTCCGTGGCTCTTTCCACCCTCGTACTTCTGCGCCTCGGCTGCGTGCTCCAGTCGTGTCTGAAGTAGCAAGAAAATCTAGCCAATATTTTTCCACCCCTTCTACAATTTTCCATCATTCTACCAATTTTCGCGCAGCAATGACTTTATAATTTTATCCTTTAAACGACCTACATTTTACAATTCTTTTCAAAGTGTACACTAAAAATTGACGAAGCAGCAGTTAAGCATGGAAGGAGAATCAGAAAGTGGTTCTTTATTCCCGTCAACCTAGATTTGTTCACCTGTTCGATAACGTGCTCGTAGGAGGGGGGAGGAGAGCTCGGTATGGCTGGATCATTCTTCACCATCAGGCTGTTCGAATCAAACATCGACGACTTTAAATTCGATTCAGTTTCATCGGTCAATCGTAGTCGATTCATCGGTAGATGGACCTTTTGTCCCTTCGCCTTATCTTCGCTCGTCACACGATCATTTCTCTCATCTTCGTTCTCGCTGTCGCTCTCTTTCTCCGTTTCCTTCTCGCAACCCTTCTCCTTTTCTGTCTCGTTCTCTTTCTCTTTGTCTCGCTCTTTCTCCTCGTTGCTGCGAGATTTGGACATTTTTGTGAATGGAAACTTGAACGGCGCCAGTTTGAATACTTTTTTTGTTTCTGCTTGTTTATCTGTTGCGAACAGATGAAAATAACGAAGATGAAATATTTTGGCAATATTCGACATATCGTACCTACAATTTGTGATTTTAACATTGTATCGTAATTCTCAGAGCTCGAGTGCACCCTGAATCGCTAATAAATACCACGAATCCCTATTTGCTGTTTTAAAAGGAGTATTATTTTACTCGAATGTTAAACAACTTTTTTCAATATCATTAATGAAAGGTATTAAAATCGTTTCCAATGGAAATATTCTTGGAATCCTAACAAAACATTTTTTACTCTTCAATTATTACTGTTTCAAGAACTGAGGGTGATGTTTCATTTGAATATGAAACAATATGAAAAATTTTGCTAAGGGAATTAAGCATTCATTTAGGAATCCTCACTTTCCACCCTTGAATCATTATTAAATACTAAATTCTTTATTATTTTAACGCTCTGTTACTTATAAATAACTTTTTGTTAAATAAATAATATTTCGAACTTTTTATTACTAAAAAAAAAAAAGAATGTATCTGAAAGCTGTAAAAAACGTTCGCACAAATTCCACTCAGTCTGTCGTCGCATTTATCTCATCCCCCTGCACACAAACATGCGACAACTACACGAATCTTCAAGTGCGCATAATTCCTCGTTCTCGCTACGGATTCACCGGGTTGAGTATCCGGAACGGTAGAAAAAAAAATGGGGGGGAAACAACAACGAATGTTAAAACCAGGAAAAACAAACACGACGAGTGGGGGAGGAGGTTACGAGGCGCGGAAGGGTTGCGTCTCCGTGCAAGTGCACCAGCTGCATCTGTCGTTGACCCAGTGGCCGAGTTTGCCCGTTTGTCGGTCGGTCTAGAGCAGTTGCGGCTGACTTTAAAGCCGTCGACTCCTCCGGAGATTTCAGCTACGCCCGCAGCAACTGCCACCCATGATCCCGCATCCTTCGAATCACGCGATTCCCATCAACTTAACGCGCCAGCCATTTTTCTCGAGCAACAAATTTTCGCAAATGCAAGAGAAAACAAGAAATTCATTTGAAGATCAAGAAAGTTTGAAATGGTGAATCTAATATAGGAAAGACTGTAGGTGCAATTTTTCAAATTTCTTAGAAAAAATTAGCTGACAGAGGAGCAATTTTTCCGTGAAAAATACTGGTCGTTCGCGATGCATATTTTTCAGAGCATGTTCGACGAAATGAAAATTCCTTCGGTCTACCTGGTCGGGATGAAGACCGAAGGAAAATTTAAAGCGAGACCAGATGGTAACTTTAATTTCGAGAATTCTTCCCTGCTCGAATATTTTATAAGAGAACGCGTTTATCATTTTTATTATATATACGAGAAAGAAAAATCTGTCTAAGAGTCTATACCTGAAAAGGTGGTCGCGATCGACAACGATGGAGCAATTAGGTAGAATTACTTTTGCGTGGGTGGAGTGAAACGAATCGACGCAGAAACGCGTGGAAGGAGGTACGTGTAGATTGTATACATTTTGAATGGAAAAAGCTTGCAAACCGTCGAAATTATTTGCTCGATCGATTCACCAGTTTTCCATACTGTGTTTCCCTTTTAAATGGAAAGGAAAATGTGATTCTGTCGTTTCGTAGCGTTTAGAAGGCAAGTAGAATGAGCACCTATGTAATCAGACACTTCGGTAATGCTGATAAATGTAGCAAAAGCAGAATCCGTCTTATGGATATATTAATATAATAATTATATATATTAATATATAATGCAAAAAGAACCTGGAGCGTAATAAAAATTTATGAACACGTTAATGCGTACACGTGGTCTCGTTGCAGGAAAATGTTTTATAGATCCATTAATGTAATGAGAATAAGGTGAATAGGAAAAAAAAATGAAATGTAACAAGAATTTATGGGCATGTTAATATGCCAGTGTAGATTCGTTTCTAGTGGAAATGAAAATGTTTTATGGACACATTAACGAGGAAAATGATAAAAGTAACGAGGAAAAACGACGATCATCTCGTTACGATGAAATAAAATTTCAAAATTTCATTTCTATGTGAAACAAGAAAAGAATGATTTTTAATAAGTTCGATAAGTAGTGTGGATTAACAAGTAGATTGGACTAGCGGTGCTCAGACGAGCGGAAGATAATCGTTCGCAGGCAAACGAACGGGAAGTCTCGCATCGTTGAGTAAGTAGAACATGACCATTTCACTACAGACATTCAGTGTAGAATCTGCATCATCTCTGGGAACTGTAACAAAACTATTTGCATGTAAATGAGCCAGTAGAGCAGCATCGTTTGTAAAAGGAAATAGCAAGAAACACATGTACCGAAGGAAAGTTGTAAGTAGAATGAGCCGGAAATTGTCAGACACTGAATAAAACAATCCTATGGGCAGATGAAATTTCATAAAGTTTCATTTTTGTATCGAGTATTATCGTTCTGTATATTGCACGATGTATATTTTATAAATGCAGTCAACTCGAAGGACACGAAAAATATTCGGAAATTATGCGAGAAGAACGAAAGAGGAATTTGTTGTGATATCGTGCCGTTCCTTCCATCGGGCTCCGAAAGCTTCCAAAGTTTCACTTTGCTTCCGGTCTCGAAATCTTGCCTTTCCTTTCTTCATTTTACGAATCATTGCCCGCGAGCAAGGAATCCATCGAACGAACGCACAAAGAAGTCGGAAGCGCAACGAAGCGGGACTAGAAACGACCCCGACTTTCGAAGGGTTACGTTCCCGTTTGAAATATTCTTGCTGTGCACACGCTGCGATAAATATCGGGAGCAACGATTCGATGCGATAAGGGATGAAATTGAATGTATCGTTTCAATTTCAATTCCATCGTCTGATAAAATTCTAGCTTGTTCTCCTTCGAAATCGTCAGAATTCGAAAATTTTAACAAATAAACGAAAAAATCAAGTTTCTAGAATCTTTTAAAAATTTTATAAGTGCCTCCTACGGTTTAATCAACCGAGAGGTTCGTCGAATACTTCGCTACCCCTGATATTTCCTGGAAGTTCGAGTTTATCTACAGTATAATCGATCGGTGCGCTTTTCACAAGCATTCCAGGAAGCGTCAAGGATTTCATGACGGCTGGAAATCATCCCCGAGAGCGGTGCATGGTGGATACGGATCGTCGAAATAAGACGATCGGCGAACGAGAGGAACGAACCGAAGAAAGGGTAGGTGGCAAAGTAGGTTGCCGTTGAGGCGAGGGTAGCGGGGTTGAAAATCCGACGGATTCAATGGCCCTACACCCCTCGATAGAAGTGGACGATCTCATGTCAGTGGCCCCAGCTAGTGCACCGTCATTCTGGGCTCGCACCTTTCGTCCTAGTTTCTCCGTTCTTACCCCCTCGCCCCCTCCGTTACCACCACCCTTTCCTTCTATTTCATTGCCCCTCACGCCCCTTTCTGTCTTCGTAGATCTTTATCTCAGCTGCGTGCTTCTTTTTCCGCTTTCCTTCTATCCACCCTCTTCGCCATACCTTACTGTCTGACCATATACTTCTTTTTCTACTTGCATCGTAACCGAAACGAATTTGTCATTTTTTTTTCTTTTTTTTACGCATTTCATCAATATGTTTCCATAATTTTTTAATAAAATATCTTTTATTGAAAGATATATTATTTCCGATGAATCAAGAATGAATATTCAGACCTACAATGACTTTAGAATAAAAGGGGAGAACGAGAGATTTTTCTAAAGGATAAAGGGCTTCTTAGCAATATTTCTTCCTTTTTTAAAAGCTTTTATTCGGTCCAGACGAGAGTAGTTTTCATAGCTGCCTCATTTTTCAGGCTGTTTACTCGAGGTACCTTAATTAGCTGTGCAAGCATCAGTTTTTACGACTCTCGAGAGCTTGGAACGAACACCTTCAGTCTTGTTATGGTTTGGAGAACATTCAACGTTCTTTTCTCCTGGGAACAAAGCCTGGTAAGGGAAGATTTTTCAAATTGCATTAGCATTAAGAATCATCCATCTCGCGACTGTACCGATCAGATAATCAAAATAAAAAGCAGAGAAATAATTTATTTTCAGGATAATTGGACATGAAAGTGCAGTAATCCTCTAATTAGGGTGCAGCGTTATTTTACAAGGTATGCAAGTTATAGAAAGTTTATATTTGAAATCTTCTACACGATGAAACTTTCAATCTCGCCCACGGTGACGTTTAATTACGAATCCAAATGACCATGTACGTTTTCCAAGGGTTGAGAAACTTTTCCATCCGTAACAAAGGACATTCCAGGGACCATAATTCGTTTCATAACACAAAGTGATTCCTCGAATCGCGAACGGGCCAAAGTTCTCCACATCGTCTCGAGTAACTTGTTTCATTACCATTTATTCATATGGACAAAGGTAAATGAATATTATAATCAAGTAATTGTACAATACCTGAGTGCACGAGATACGTACATGAAATATTCAAACTCTCAATTTATCGTATGCTTTTTCAGCATTTAACGATACTACGAATCACTTGAAATATTTCTATGTTGAAGAAACTCAAACATTGTTCCAAGTATTATTCAGTATTAGAATTCATTATTTAAATCAGCCCATAAATTCGATAAGGTTGATGCTTAAGCAAAAAAAAGGTGGTCGCAAAAAAACATTGGGTATCGAGGGTGAAAATTAAAACGTAAAAAGGATCGTCGCCATTGTTTCACTTCGACGTTTTGTTGAATCACTGGGATATTTTTTGTAACCTCCGTTACATGGCCAGTCAAAGGGACAACGAAATGAAACGTAATAAATAGAAAAAGCAGAACGTAAATAAAAATAAAAAATGGTGTTGCATGTTCTATTAAAGGTGCAACAAAAAAAAAAAGAAGAGAATTTGATAAATAAAATAAATATTTGATTGTTTACCTCGTTCCTTAAAAAAGACCATTTACATTTAATCCAATATCATATACAAACTTGGGAAAGGTACACTGTCGAAATAATAAAGTGGCAGCAATGATAAACGAGCAAACATCGTCGAAACAAAGGCCGAATAAAAATGTCACAAAGCCTCGACTAAAAAATAAAAAATTACCATATCATCCCCTGTTCTCCATTTCTTTACCTTCCATTTCTCAACGGCTCTTCCTCGTACACGATACGATCGTGAAAAAAGGGTCTGATGAATCCAGCCAAGGGGGTAATCAAACCTTTTAATCAGCAATATATCTGGGCAGTATATTTAAACGAGTGACCTTAGAAAAGATCGAGGAACCAGAGTGAGAGGGTTAAGAAAATGCCAAGAAATGGTCACCGCCCTTTCGCGAAAGGTCGTGATATATAATAGCGACTTTAGACTTTGACGATTTTTATATCTTCGAAGAAATTTTAAGCAATGAAAAGAAGAATCGTTATGTTTTCGAGAGATGATGCTTGGGGAATGAAGGAAGGATCATTCGTTCGTTGCTAAAAACCTTTGGCTCGGGGGTAAACTTTTGCGGGTGCACGTGACTAACCTCTAGAAAGTTGATGGAGAAGCTCGTTGAAGTCTCTGAAACTTTCCACCCGGCGTCGGATCAATTTGCGACTTTATTACTTGCGGTCTGTTTGATCATGTTAGAGGGACCATTTCTTTCTTCCTTTTCATTTTCTTTTCCTTTCATTCGATCGGGAAAAGAAGATCCGTTTCTTTGTAATTTGTTTCTCGTTAATCGATCGCAGAACAGAAGTGAGAAGACAAATAGAGATAGATTGAACCATGGTATTCTAATTAACCGTCTTTAATGGGTAGTTAATAAGAAAGTTTCGTACCGGCTAGTCATCCGGGACGAAGAAACGTGTCCATCACGTGAAGATCACGGTGGGTCATTGGAAAAGCAATCTAAGCAGAAAAAAAAACAAAGTATTTCGAGAACAAATTACCGTCGAAGCGATTTAGGTCGCGCGGTTCGGTTTCACCTGCGACCCATTGTCTGATGATGTTCGGAAAACGTGTTTGCCATCGATATATCCATATCGAGATACATTTACCGTTGATATTCGATATTTTGCGATGACGGAAGGTTGATACGAAGAAGCTGGAGAAAAGGGAATTTCAGCGAGGCAAAGACTCGAATGGAAGTTCGCAAACCTTCGGCATCAATCTCGGCTCGAATTCGTGCCGATGAGTAATCCTAAACCACCAAACAAAGTTTTAACCCATGTCGAATGCCTGCCACTCCCTTTCTTCTTTCGATAGACAGGCTAAAATTACTTGTTCGTATCCACCACGGATAATATAGCAAAAGCAGGAATTCACAAAATCCTAATTTTCACGATATTAATATTAAAAGTGATTTAGATCAATCATTTTTTTCTAGGGAAACCTATCAAACGATATTAAAATTATTCTACTATACAGAGCTCTACTATAATTAATTATCTAATAAAATTTCATAGCACCATATAATGTTAATAGCGTTTGCTGCAATTTAACTAGAGCACAGTGGTAATTTATAAGACGCCTAGGGAATTTCACGTACCTGTTGATACAAGCAACCAACCGGAAGATTAAAGCGATCCGGAATCACACGTTCCGCTTTGAATCGAACCCGAAGCGATCGCGTGAAATGTCAAACATAGTTCGAGACCACAGTAGAATATCATCGAACCAACACCGTTATCGATCCGTTTAACTCGATATTCCCTTCGAACTGACAATTTCAACCAGAAAAACATGTAAATAAATGGTGACTTAAGGCAGGAAATAATTGACGAGCTATTGATGTTACTTTGCGAATGTTCACTGAATAATTGCCGGTGCTTTATCAGATAAAATAGATGCACGTTTGACGACGCGTGTAACCCGTCGCGTCCCCGAAGCTACGAAACGGGTCAGCAGAGAAAATTAGATCACCGCTGCTAATTGAACGCACAGTAGCATCTAATTAACTACGAAATTAATACCGTCGAACGGCTGCTCTTCCATAATGAGGTTAGAAATATTTGTAGCAGAAAATTTCACTTCGACCGTCGGTGAACGTGAATGATAAACGTTCTAACGTGACAGGGGATGAAATGATTATGATACGGCGTGTGTCACGGTGTTGCACGTCGTACTACGGGTAGAAAATAATATATGAAGCGTATCTTTGAAGAAGACACCAACTTTTCGAGAAATTAGATTACAAATGCCATTGGCTAAAGAATCGATGAATTTTTCAAAATATACCAGTCACTAGAGAAAAAATATTTCAAACTTTGTTCGACACAAATACCGACACATCGTGGAACACTGCAAAGAACGTAGAAACGATCGCTATATCTTCTCCTTTTTTTCCCCTTATCCTTGAGTCAGCAGGAAAAAAAAAAAAGGTAAACGACGCAGAAACGTTTACAGAAATTCGAGGGATGGGGTTGAAACAGAGGGTTGTTCGATCGAAACGAGGGTCTCGTTGACAGACAGAAACGTTCATACGTATCGCAGAAACAAAAGGCTGGCTTTCGCCGATAATGGATCGTTAAATTGTTATTGAAAGAACTTTTTTTTTTCTTTCTATGCTGGAAAAAACTCGTGAATCGCAGATAAATATACTTTTCACTGGAGGATATAAGCCATGGTAATTGCTTGTTTGCTGCATTTCAGAACTTTGGGTTTAATACAGAATTTAGGGCAGTGAAAAAGTTTAATCCGATATTAGGATGGAGTGGTGTTAAGAAATTTCCATTCATTAATGAAGATTACCTGCAAAAAGCTATTGAAATAGATAACGGAGAAAAGTTAATTAGTTCACGGCATAAAAACAGCAATGATTACAAAAATGAATTTTAAGCCTTTTCCAAATGAAAACGCGCACAATAACAATTTTACGAAGATTATACGATCCAAAGGCCACGTTTAAATCCATTTACTAAAAGTGTAATTAATCTGCTATTTTATGAAGACAAAATCACCGTCTCAAGGTTGAAAAATCCGAACAGTGATTTCTTGAAAAAAAGCACCAAAGGGGTTGAAAAACGATCTCCTTTTATAAAATTTTATTTAAAATATGAAACAAGAGTTCTTCGACGGATAACAACACGAAGATGGCTCTAATAGAATAACCTTCTCTGTTAAGGGTGTTTTCAATTTTTTATCAAAGAACAAATATCTATGATTGATCCTAGCCAAATATTCGATCAAATTCATCGCTAAACCATCGGATTTATTGATCGTCAATAAGAACGCACACTAATTCAAGGAGTGGTGTAGATACACGCTAGAGGGGTGCGTTTTCTTAACAGGACAAAGCACGCAGTTCGACTCGAAGCAGTGAGCGATCTTTCGTAAACGCTCGTGGAAGAATTTCATAGTAGAAAAATCATAGGAAATATGCTTTTACTTACGAGATATAAGCGTTCGTTGATCTTGTTGTTGGAATTGGTGCTTTACCTCGAAATACGGCTGGTCAGCTTCGTGGAGACTTGCACGGGGTGTCGATGTTAGACGGCCATGTTGTTGGAAATCCACCGCCCTCTGGTCGACGCTCGACGAAGTCATGATCCCTTCCCTCCTCGAACTTTCACCCTCTCGTTTCCACCCTTCTTCAGCTGCTTCGTGTTTTACGTTCTAGCGCGTTTAAGAATGCAACGAGAACTTCCCGCTTCTTTTATTTTTTATTTTTCCTCGGTGAAATACCGTTCTTGCTGTGATTCTTGCCTTCTCTTTCGAATTTTCTTGATAGTTTAAACGTCGACTGCCGTTTCGAAACAAATTTTAATTTGTTTCTTACAAAGAGGATAAGATACCGACTCCTTTATTCTACTGGCTGACATAATATCGACTCGTACCACTAGCAGAGTACTCAGACCATTTTTCATTTAATTCAGAGTCTTTTATTTCTTTTACATCCCTTTATTCAACACCTCCTTCTCGGTCTCCTGCGTGGAAACCTTAAGACACCCACGCGAATGGCTCACAATTTTGACTCAAAGCACGCGTTTTAATTAAAAGAATCCCTGCGTCGCTTATTCAGACGGCGAATTAATAGCTTTTCATGATACGAGAAAATTTTCAAGATGCGGGGAAATTGAAAAGAACATTGATACAAAATTTTCAAGCCGATCGATAATCATGTTTCTATCGCAGTGACGGCGAAATAATAACAAAGTGTTCTCCCGCTGTTTCTCTCGAATTTCACGTGAAAGTCGACTAGAGAGCGCGTCGCAAAGAAACACAGACCTGTCTCGAGAATCTTGAAAGAAATGCAACCCCTTTCACGGCACTTTAAAACCATCCTACTTGCTCCTTTCCTATGCTCGCAACAAAAATCGAACCTCTTTCTCGCACGTTTTCATAACGCAGCGAGATGGTTAAATATAATTTTTTATAGCTCATAAATATAGATAGATAAGTAATTTTTTTTAAATATAAAAAGAAAATAACACCTTTCTATGAAACTATTACAATAATCTGAAACTCTTTATCGTGCTTTTAACGTTAGTACGTAACGTAGGTAATGCGATATCGTTACCCTTTTGTAACTTGAAATTTTCTCCGATTCTCTATTCGAAATCATTGCTCGGAGCATTTGGATATAGGCTTTAACCCTCGAACGATGAAACTGGGTCGATAGAAGGCCAAATCTGCGAAATATACAGCGGTGATTCGAGCAAAACTTTCGTGCAGGGGAGAGATGAAATTTAAAGGAGTGCTTTAAAATTTGGATAATAAAATTGAAGATCGAGGAACGAAAGGGGAGAAAATCTTCGGTAAAAGTTTCACGTTCCTCGACGTCGTTGATATTCATCGTCCGCCACGTCCATCGCGACGTTGGCAACAGAAAGTACCGGAAGCCACTTTGCAGACGCGCACAATCCACGGAAGTAGCGACACAACACACTTCCGTCTTTGTGCTCGAGCGACGAGTAGCTGGCTTGTCGAGCAACATTTTTTCCGCCGTCGTGGCGAATTTCGTCTGATGGCAGGCTCGAATAGCCGGAAGGGCCGTGCACCGCGAGTGCTCTTCCGGCCTGTTGTAATTAATACGACCCCATCGATCTCGGGGCCGTGGCTTTATCCTCGGCCCGACCATTTTCTTTTCGTCGCGTCGTTTCGCGTGGTCCGCGAATTTCCCTCTTTTATCGCCGGCAACCAGCTGGGTGCAAGCGTTCGAAAGCCGAGCATAGGGTCAATGGGCCGAGGTTCGAAAGGCTGGAAATGTAGGCCAACGTAGACCCGATTGTAGCAGATACCCAACGATCCCGTGTGTACCTAATTTATACATTAATTCCGAGAGCAATCGAGAGGATGGCGAAGCGCAATCAGCTTCTGCTTGAAAAATTACCACCCCTGCCGACCACCAGATCTTTTATTACACAAATTTATTCACCTTGAGAATATGCGAGAATATAGAATAGTCAGCACGAGTACACCGGAAATAATCCTAGCCCAAAGGGACGTAGGAAAAACACTAAAATCTCTGCGAAGTCGATAAGGAAAGAAAAGAGTAAGGAAAAAGGCCATCTAAGCAATCCTGTGCCATAACGCCACCCATTTGGCAGTAGATGGCTTCCGCATCCTTCCTTCAGTTCCTAATCTATGTTTCCTTCTTTTTCTCTTTGATTTTGCGACCATCTGTCGGGTGAAAATTTTGTCGCGTAATCGATAGGAAATTCGCGCGAGCGCGAGCTACCTGTTCGAGGAGGGAAGCATTCATCGCGGACAAAGAGGCTCGAGTACTCTTCGCGCCTTCCTCTTCGCCTAGCTCTAGTCTAGCAGGCTTCAAAGTATCATCTTGAAAGCCGATCGTGCTACTCCCAAGCTGGCTGGGGCTCGTTCAGCCTTGGTTCTCATTAAAAATTCACGCGAACCAAGCACCGCGAGAACTTTAATCAATTAGCAACCGCTTAAGCGTACCGCTCCGTTCCTTCGGGCTGTAGACATAAGCCTAGAGAATAAGTAAGAAACACGGAAGTCTCCTTGGAACTCTATTATGTGCAGCGCTTCGAAATTCTCATTGTAAAGAGATTTCTTCTTTCTTTTTAAATATGATTCGTTTTTGAAGTTTCTGGGTAATATAATACTCTGAATTTTTGTTAATTCGATATAAGTTTAGTTCTGTACTGCTAATAAAATTTCCTCTCAAATTATATTAGTTCGGTATCGATTTCGTTGTAATATCGAAATGGTCCTCGAAAGATAAAATAAAGCATTCTAGAAAGCAATATTTTTAATTGAAACAGGGTAGTATGCGTTTGTTATATTGCATATAATATTTAATGATGTCAACAGTTCACGAAAAAAGTTATCTAATTAGATATAAATGTATGTCTGATGCATTCGAGGATGTACTACTTATTTTAGAACAAATAGGAGGCATACCGAGTTAATATTAAGTGTCTGACCATATTCCACCCTCATATTACCCGCCTTCACTATTTACCACCCTTGCATTACTTTATTCGATTTCTATACTACTTGCCTGACTGTACAGTGCTTCTATACTACTTGCCTGACTACCTGGTAGCAGTACACCACGCGTCTGACTGCTCCCCAGCTATATAATTGCTTGATTACACAAGTACTTCTGTACTATTGGTCTGATCATGTATCCATACTAGTAAATTGAATTCTAATTTCAATCTTGTTTTTCTGTTCAATCCGATTCGCTTCTCCTCACTTTGAACCCTGCTACACCACCACGTTCCTTCTCACTTTCTTCATTCTTCGCGATCCTACTCCCCTTTGCGACACCCTTTCACCCCTTCATTCGTTCACACTATCACCATCTAGTTTCATTCTCACTGTAACACCCCTCTGTCCCCTCTCTTTTCAACTCCTCCCACGTTACCCCCACTCTCTTATACTCCAAACGCTTTCTCCCACTCTATCTAACCCTTCTATCAGCCCAACCGCTGCCCCTCTCTTTCAACGCTACCCCCGTCGAGGGTGGAAGAGCGCCGGTCCGAAAGCCTCGGCGGAGTCAAGCTCCGACACGGTTCAGACGAGTTCAGTCGCGCCACTCGGGCGTGGTGTTCACGTGCGACCTCAAGCTCGACACGTACGTTTCGTCAACGATAGGGAGGACACACGTTCACAGAGGGGAGAGGAAGAGGAATAGAGTGGATCGCACGCGTTTCATGTTCCGGTTCGGAGAGTTCTGCTACGATCGCAAGGTAGACACTTAAACGGTTTACCCGATTCCTTTGACAAGTGAACGCCGCGTGCTCGTGCCAGTGCAACGATCTATTTTAATAATATTCTTTCTATTCTTTCTCTTTTTTCCCGTTTGCTAACGACTAATGTACTCTTTAGACTATACAGAAATTTTATTTAACGATAAAGTGAAATAAAAGAAACTGCATTGGTATCTTTTTCTTTAGATCTCTGTTAATAATAATATATTTACTTGTATAAATAATAGTCATTCTAACAGTGTCGACGAACCTTGTCTCGTATCGAGAGTAACTGAAAATTACCTGTCGCCGATACTTTGATCGAGTTCGTACGAGTTCGATCGAAGTGTCGATTACCAATCCTCGCGCAACAGAACAATTAACGCGAACGATTTTCTCCTGCAATTATTAACAGTCTGCCTGTCAGTTCCAAAGTTCTTTAGCCATTTTAATCAGTAGTGACGGCTGACGTTGCATAACAAAGCTCGTGCAATTTTAGTTACGATCAATTGACAGATACAGAAAAAATAATTGCTTTTGAAACGATTTCCATTTCATGGAAAATATTTATACACGTACGTTCGGTACCGATAATTTATCAGTTTATCTCGGTTTCATTTTTCATTAAATCACGTTAGATTCATCCAGGAAATCGCCATCGCGTTCCCGCCACTTTATATAACTCTCCCATGGCGGATAGTGTCGATTTGGAGCCTTGAGGGGGTCGAAAAGCTGCTCTGCCGTATCGAAGCTTTTACTTATACAGGCGGGTTTGAAGGGCGCAACGGCGCTAAAAAAATATCCAAAAGCAGCCACCATCTGTCATGGCGGATACGCGAATTTCGAATTAATATCGCGCGATTCGATGGCGCGCGAAGGGGGTTGGAAGGAGAAGGATCGACGACGGTACGAACTTCGCCAACAGAGAACAATGAGTCTGGCTAGTATCGAGCTAGAACGGATCTCTCGTTCCTCTCACTCGTCAGAAACAAACTTTTCTCGTAGCCAGACGACATATTTCCCGCTTCAGAAGCCTCTTTTCCTCCCCCTCCTCCTCCTCCTCCTCCACCACCACTCGACGTCCTTCGAAAGCAACCAGTCTCGCTGTTTCCGACGAAAACCGTCGTTGAAAAGCTTCTGAAGTGGCTCGCAGAAGTCGTACCTCACTCACCGTTGCTTCTAACGTTTCGTTATTGGCTGAAAACGTACCGGGTGTCGGGCAGATATTCTTTTATTTCGTCGCTTTTCCACGAGTGCAACGCCTCTCAAACATCGTTAGTTTACGAATGTTCGCAATAATTAATTTTCAGACGTAATCAGAAGCGTTAATGACACGAGGGGGTGGATT